ACTTCTAACGCGCTCTTGATGCTCGGCTGTCAACCTGCTCTTGTAACTTCTAAGACACTTTTGATGCTATGCTCTGAACTTTTGTGGCAATGTCTAACTCGCTCTTGCTGCTACGCTATGAACTTGTTTCGACCGCTGGTGGCGAAGTCTTGAAAAGGCATTGCCCCAATCTCTTCATGTCAAAGACAGATGGCATTGCTAAACAGCTAATGTCATACGTTTGGGGCTTCGTGCGGCGAAGCAATTTGGGCAACCATGCCAACTTAACAAAAGAGTTCGGCAAAATCATTTGACTTCAACTGCAACGGGCGAGCGGATGAAAAAAACTACTTTTGAGCGACAGGGGTTAGCAATTCGAAATCAAAAAAAAATGCAAATACCCACGGAAAACAAGCCTGTGCGTTCTTGTCCTGAAGCACATAATTGTGTAAGGTTTGAAAAAATTAAAGATGCAGAAGTGCATGAATCAACAAAAAACCCAAGGTCAAAGATCCGCCTGTTACCAAATAGATGAGATTAGATTAGATTAGATTTAGATTAGGTTAGATTAGATTAGATTACATTAGATTAGATTGGGTTAGGTTAGGTTAGATAGATTAGATAGATTAGATTAGATATATAGGTTAGATAGATAGATTAGATAGATAGGTAAGATAGATAAGATAAGGTAAGATAGGTAAGATAGATAAGATCAGATAAGATAGGTAAGATTAGATAAGATTAGATAAGATTAGATGAGATAGATAAGATAAGATAAGAAAAGATAAGATTAGATAAGATTAGATAAGATTAGATGAGATAGGTAAGATCAGATTAGATAAGAAAAGATAAGATTAGATAAGATTAGATAAGATTAGATGAGATAGATAAGATAAGATTAGATTAGATAAGAAAAGAAAGGATTAGATAAGAAAAGATAAGATTAGATAAGATTAGATAAGATTAGATAAGGTTAGATAAGATTAGATAAGATTAGATAAATAGATAGATAGATAGATAGATAGATAGATGGATAGATAGATAGATAGATAGATCCGTCTAGATACATAGATAGGTCTATCTAGATAGATAGTTAGATAGATCCATCTAGATACATAGATAGATCTATCTAGATAGATAGATAGATCCATTGATTAGATATGGTACACCGATCGGGGTCTACCGACCATGTCAATTCCATGGTATTTACAGTGTTTTATGATCATTTTCGGATGTTGTTGTTTTTTTATGTTTTGTGTGGCCTTTGGTGACAGGGGGTTAATACACATGTATACATGATATATATTATATATGTATATGTATTCTGCGTGGATTTTTGTTTTGGGAATTAAGTAGCTCTTGATATGTACAAATACGTGTACATACAACTAAAACCTTTGGATTCATCAAAGAACCAAGATTTGCACAGGGCTCTTTGGGCGAATCTTAGGTGCACCCAAGAATCCAAGAACCAAAGAGTTCATCTTGGATTCTTGGATTCTTGGACGCAAGGGTTCGAATGGTAGGTGGTACGCGTGCATACACATACCTGTCTAGGTTTGACATATTCAAACAAGTAAGTGCCTGGAAACTGACACTTTCGGGGGAATGGTGGGGTATTTCTTTGAGAACATGGAAAACGGCTTTGTAACAGCATGTTTTCATAGATGCTGCAGTACTTTGAAAGAGTCTTCCTACCTATAAAGAAAATCCTTGAACGGATGCAGTATCTTTTGAAAGAGTATCGGACATATTGCATAAAATGGCGGGGCATCTTTTTAAAGATTGTACTATTTCTTTCAAATAGATAGATGCAGTAGTATATATATATATACTTTTAGCAAGTTTTGCCCCTGAATGGACGCAGAACTCTTTCGAAGTGCGTTGTATTCTCAAACACATGTAGTAGCGCTGCATCACTCTTTGCAATATTGGATTACGAAAAGTGTGAGAAAATGTGACGTTGTTTTAAACTACCAGTAGCATACTTTAACAGATGCAGTAATACTTTGCTTCAAGGGCGCAGTATTCCTTGGAAAATGAGTTCTAGTGTAGCATTCCTTTTTTGCAATGTTCCATTGAAAAAGGTGATACCTTCCTTAAGAATGGTGGGGCGCTCCTTCAAGAAACTGCAACATTGCTTTGGCATAGAATGCCTCAATAGATGCAGTTAATTCTAAGTGTTAGTTTCAAAAGAAGTCCCTGAATGGATGCAGTACTCTGTTGAAGTAGTATTCTAAAAGAAGTGTGGTAGTGTAGCATCACTTTTTGCAATGTTCTATTAAGAAGAGGAACACATTTCTGGAAAATATAGGGTGTAGTAATCCTTGGGAAAGGACATAAACACAGTGGAACATTCCTCTGAAATGCGCAGTACTACTTTGATATAGCTGTGTTTAATCGATGCAATTTGTTTTTTAAATCATGTAGCTTAGTAATGCAAAATGTAGTTGTTCAACAGTGTTGTACCATGACTGTCAGAGGCTGTAGCACTAACAGAGTTGGCAATACCCTTCAAAGAGACCTTCAAAATCTACCGTATTTCTCAGATTCCTCTAGAAAAAGATGCCGCCTTTAAAAACAGAATCAGTACTACTTGAGTCTTAAACCCAATAACTTCCAGACAAGAGCCCCTTCAAGAACATTTTGGAAACAAGACCAGAAAAATGTTTCAGATTCTGTGGTCAAATGTTGCGCCAACCAAAGGTAAAGAAATGAAAAACATATTCAAACCCTGCATTTGGCCGTTACTTTCCTGCTGTAGTGCTACAACAAGTGATTAAAAAAACAGTAAGAAAATGGATGTCGAGGACATATCTGCTACCCCAAAGGTAGATCTTGGGGTGCTAGCATACATTATATATACAGTGTATTTTATAAATATTAGATATCTTATATATTATATATTAAGTATAATATATTGAATATTGAATAATAAATATCAAATATTATATACTACAGATTTTACATATTACATGTATGTGTATATATATACTGTATTATACATGCTTACTATATATATATGTTGTATTATATATGCACATGAAATTATATATGCCATAATTCATATATATCATATTATATGTATTCTATGTTGAAAAATATTCATAAAACATAAAAAGTGACATATACTAAACATAAATTGCAAAACTGATATAATTATACTATATGTTATTACATATGTATATATTATATTACATATGCTGTATACCATATATATATAGTATGTTGTATATATATACACAATAAAATACTTTAATATATATTATGCTATATGTTTATTTATCTAATATGATATATATATTTATTTGTTTATTCATTTATTTATTTTATTTTATTTTTTAAATTATCTTGTAGTTGTTGTAGTATATCAAATTATATGTCATATGTATATCTGTATGTACATATATTATGTTATATTATACAAATTATATATGTTATATATATACTATATTGTATATGCTGTATATATTATATTGTATATGTGTTAAGTGAAATATTTAAATATATATATATATTATAAAATACATATGCTTTATGTTCTATGTTGTATGTACTATATATATATGATGCCGCCACGCCCTGTTTTCAAATCACAAGGGCCAGAAGGCATAAGTCATGCCAAGTTGGTTTCAAAGTAAAATGGCATCACGCCAGGGGAAACCGGTGCTGAAATTTCACGTCAGTGGAAAGGAAAACACTGACAAAGGCAGCACCCCACACACTTACCCCAGATGGACGTGGTGGGGAATGGAGGAGGCTGAACAATGGGAGTCTTGAGATACAGACGGCCCAACAAAATCAAACATCAGCTGGCTCTATCAATCAACTACAAGTAGAGGCAATGATGCCGCCACGCCCTGTTTTCAAATCACAAGGGCCAGAAGGCATAAGTCATGCCAAGTTGGTTTCAAAGTAAAATGGCATCACGCCAGGGGAAACCGGTGCTGAAATTTCACGTCAGTGGAAAGGAAAACACTGACAAAGGCAGCACCCCACACACTTACCCCAGATGGACGTGGTGGGGAATGGAGGAGGCTGAACAATGGGAGTCTTGAGATACAGACGGCCCAACAAAATCAAACATCAGCTGGCTCTATCAATCAACTACAAGTAGAGGCAATGATGCCGCCACGCCCTGTTTTCAAATCACAGGGGCCAGAAGGCATAAGTCATGCCAAGTTGGTTTCAAAGTAAAATGGCATCACGCCAGGGGAAACCGGTGCTGAAATCGCACGTCAGTGGAAAGGAAAACACTGACAAAGGCAGCACCATACACACTTGCCCCTAACCACGCTGTGCTATGGCCTCTCAGTGGATCAGCCAGCCTTGCCACCATGCAGCTGCTGCAGCGCCAGCTGTGCGAAAGGCTGCGCTCTGCGAGTCCACCACATGCCCGCGGAGTCTTTGCCCACCAAGGGAATGTGAGGCCGTTTGGAATGAGAACAACTCATGTGGGTGCCTTGACATTGAACAGCCAGTGAAGAAAGATCCAACCCACGATACAGCAGTCTTGTAGGTTTTTGCCATCGTTCTCCAAATTGACCGAAATCCAGATCACACAGATGAACATGAGGAGAAGCCAAAAAGTTTTTCATGGGTGACATACACCAAGCCAAACTCGTAAGGGGATTTTGAACAACGACAGGGCCAATCGTAATATGTCCATAGAAAAGAAGAATAGAGTGTTTCCCTCAAACGATCATTGTACGACAAACCAAGTAGTCAGTAGTCCCATGACATGGTCCAAATCACGTAGAGGCCCCGGTCCCCTCCCATCGTTTCAACGTGCTCTCGAAAAAGTTGCACATGGCATCCCCAACCAGATCAACAAGATCCGCCCAGATAACATCAGATTACGAATATATGTGTGCACCAGTGGATCCAAGACATTGTGGGAAGGAAACAAGCAAATATCAATGGGATATGTAGGAATGCCGACATCGCAAAGTGCTTGTGAAACTCGCGCTGAACCAGCAAAAATCTCTAGGGCAAAACGATGAGGCCGTGGTACAGTCTTATCAGAAAGATCCCTCGCAGCATGGCTCACTTGGACTTCTTGGGGGCCACTGGCCCGACATCATCCTTCTCATGTTCATTTCGCTCCATTTGCAGAAGCTTTTGTCGCTGGAAGTCATCTGAGCCAGCAACTGCTGGATGCGACCGATCTTCGCATACCTTCTCACACTCTGATCCGTTTTCCACCTTCCTCTTGCCTTCACACCTTGAAAGTCTCGGCGCTTGGAGGCAAGGTCCTCCGTGGCACCGCCATGCCGGAGTTGGTATGGATGGAGGGAGGCAAGCCCTAAGTCCTCCCCTGCTTTTACAAAGGCTTTCCGGAAGTCTTCCATGGAGAAATTGAAGATCCGATCTGTGGGACGTGGAACTGACTTGGCTTTGTCTAGCAAGGCTGATCCCATGTAGTCTACCCTCTTGTCGTCCAGTGGCAGGCTGTTGTCGAACACAGCAATTTTGTCTGGGCGGCCATCCTCCTGGTCTCGAATGATCACCGTGATGTGCTGGAACTGTTTGCCTGCCTGACGGACGGGAGGAACTACATTCTTCTTTCTCAGGTCCAGTCCTTCTCCCGGGCGCAAGTAAAGGTGAAAAGCCACCAGCACCAATAGAGCCATGTCCGTTTTGTTCTCTGCGAGCAAGTTCATGGCTAGACCGAACATAACAGGTCTGGGCATTGGCAATCTGCTGGAAGGCAGGACGGCTTTTCGCCAGCCTCTGAGTGCCCTCTTTGAACGAGGGAGATGCCCTTTCAAGGCGATCTGATGAAACTCCAAGGCCGCTACGGTCTTCTCGCCTTCCCTTGCTGACTTGCCATCTAGGTACAGCAGGTCGAGAAAATCGGCCAAAAGTGGATCGGCATCCAATGGACTGATTGGGAACCCAACGCCGTTCAGCTTGCAAAAGTCCTCGAACTTGCTGAAGTAGCCCTGGTACTGGTGCTGAATCTCTGCACTCACGCTCCGGGTCTCCAGGACTGTCAGGCGATTCTGCCTTGCCCTGGTTCCCACACCTTCCTCCAGCTCTTTGGGGATACGATTGACGACCCTCCTGGCTTTCGGAGGCTTGTGAGGGCACGGGCCAGCATTCAAAGTTCTCTTTTGGCCCTTCTTCTTCTCCTGAAACTGAGGCCATGAAGCCTTTGACGTTAGAGATCGCAACACGCCCATCCTCTTCTTGACAACTTGAACTGCCTTGGGAGTTCTCGCTGTCCTTGACGTGTCCCGCACCAAGGCCCCAATCTTTTTGATAAGGACCCGGACTGAGTTGCCCTCGCGATGGTCCGTCCGCAACATTAATCTCGGGTCGAACCCAGCGGGGACGGAGGAGAATGCCAGAGGAAAGGCACAGAGCACTCAACTTCTGAATAACGCGAAGCAGCTGGAAATTGTGGCACCCACCCTTCCCAACTGCAAAACAAAGTGACAAGTTATCTCGCAGCACGACATGTTTGAGCCCTCGCTGCTGAGACGCCCTTGTCATTCTACGAACAGCTAGCACCAAAGACCTACCTTCTTTCAGAGTGATATGCTCATGGCCGTGCTTCCATTTGCCCATTGACACTGTCTTCCACTTTTCAGGAATCATCAATTCAAGGGGAACCTCAGGGAAGACTTCATTCTCAATGTAGTTGTCCAAATCATCAAACTCCGCCAAGCTGCCCTTTGCTGTCCGGACATCCCCCAAAGGATCCCAGCCTGAACTACGTTGGCGAGGCTTCCACTCCTCCGGCGCCAATCTCCGGAAGCGCCAGCGCTCTTGCCACTTGCCCAAAGCGCGAGCAGAGACAAAGTCTGATTCCAGCTCGCAGATGCCAAAACCTTCAGGAGAAGCATCAGAGCATATGCCCACAAAGGTCTTGCACTCACTTGACTCAGAACGGTTGAGCTTTCTAGGAGGCCCCCCACGTTGCACAAAATCATATAAATATCGGAAGATAGACATACCACCTCGATGTAAAACACAAACAACCATTGCATGCCCCAAAAGCCGTTGAACCAAATCTGTTGAGACGACTGCTTCCGAAGCATATTCAAAAGCAAATATAAGATTCCAAAGCCTATTACTGCTCGGTTTGACTGCACCCTCCACCCCAGCCACCACGCCACCAAGAGTTGGAAACAGTGTGCTTGCTCCGACCTCCTCGTGAAGTTCGAAGCCAGCGCTGCGCAACCCAGCACAGATGTTGTCGGCACCATCCTGACAGGCGGCAGCGTCAAGCGAAATGGAATGGACTCATTGTCGCAGTAAGGCATTGCTGCTACATCTTTACCTGATAGAGAAGGAGGAGGGTGTGCATGATCTGCTCGTGCAACGCTTGTATGATATAAAAGGACCAGGTGAATCCCATAGGTAAAACAGTAATTTAATACAATGACAAATACGAGGGCCCAGCATAGAAGCATCACCGTTCCCACCTGTAACCAAATCCCATTCCGCAAAGGTGAGGTCATCTTTCAGGCAGAAAAAGTCTTCCAAACCTGGGGGGCACCGGCAGCCATAAAAGCAATCTCTGATGTCAGCTCCAGCCATGTACATGGTGTGATCTGAAGGCACTTCCAACTCACCCAATGAGGACAAAGAGCCCAGTCTGGTAATAGGGGGCGCCTTGAACTGCAAGTTTGTACTTCTACAATCCAGAACCAACCTTTGACGGTCAACTCTCTTGCCATCAACAAATTTAGGTTTCTTACTTACAGCAAAAGCACCGACCCTACCACGACAAGTAGAAGTGAAGCCCAAAATATCACACTCATGCAAACAACATAGGAAACCAATATAGCCCTGAGGGTCATCATAGGTTTTTATCTTACCAGCTATTTCTTCCAAGTCCATCCATGTGCCTGCATCTTGTAGCATGTGCTCCTCATAATTCAACACCACATCAGGAATGCTGCCGGAAAGTGAACATGCCAGATCCACACCGGCCACATTCCCTGAAGGCAGTGACAGTGCAGCAAAGTTCATGCTAACCACTTCCCCAACGCCAGCTTCAGCCTCAACGTAAGCTGAGCTGGAAACCCGGAGCGCAGACAAGGCTCCCTGGTAGCTTGCATGGTCAGGAGGTGGTCCCAGACACTTCAACTGCTGTCTGATCCTGAGTATGGCCTCCTTCTGGACAAGGGGCAGCTGACTCAAATCTTCAACTGCAACACGAACATACCGACCATCGTGACCATAGTAAAGTGAATTCAAGGAAAGGATGGCCCTGTTGACCCGTTTCCAGAGGCGATCACGACGCTGAATTCGACGAGCGACAGACCTAGAGACACAATGCACCACCTTACCTGAAGTTTGTACTGTTGGCAAGGGGAACACATCCCGCTGACGCCCATCTGTGCCAAGAGAGTTGTATCTCATCATGCAAAAAACAAGCGGCTGCCTCTACTGCTGGGCCGCCGCACTCCCAGCAGTGATTCTTTCACTAGCCTTGCTCCGCCCCCGTAGCCTTCTTGTCACGGGGGCCACCTTGAGGATTGCCACGGCCTCGGCCACGACCTTTTGCCTCTTCCAACTTTCCGCGTTCTTTCAAGATCTGTGAATCGGCCTGCAGCTTCTTACTGACATGCTCCGTGAGGCTTGGAACGACGATGGCGCCACCATGTTTGTACTTGTTGCCCATCCAGTAGTCAGCACCTTCATATGATGGAGCCGCTGGGTTGTGGGAATGAGCTTCCGCCAGAAGCTGCTTCCTGCGGACAAGAAGTTCAAAGCTGGCCAGGTTGGACACCTGAAGGCAATCGTAGCAAATCGCTGTGTCCAAAATTTGGGAAAGTGTCTGATCCTCAAAAATGGCACGGGATCCTGGCCTGTTGGACCCAGGCCAGGTGCTGACCGTACGAGCTCTCCGCAACTGTGGAGATTGCTTTCAAGTACTCAAGACATGTACGTGGCTCAAACGGAAAATCATCCATCTCCGTGGACACCATCTCGCCGACGGCGTCTTTGAAGCCCCTGCGGCGTTCTCCATGTACGGTGCAATGCACGGCCATGGTCCGAATGTCGTCTGAAGACGAAAGCTCTTCCCCCTCTTTGGCAGTGCTGCTCCGAGCAAGGATGAGGCGCTCATCACAGCATGACCCTAAATCCTCAGCAGTCAATTGTCGGATGAGGCAAGGACGCGTCTTCTGCTTGGAGTCAGTAACTTCCATGAGGCCATAGCTTCCTAAAACTGGTGCGCCAGGAGGAGGACTAACTTTATCTCCAATGCACCTTCCCTCGACGTGTTCAGCAAGCACCCAAAAACGTTCACCGCCTGCAACTGGTCCAGGCTGGATTCCTCTTCGATTTCTCTCAGCTACCGCTTCATCACGCCCAGCTTGCATAAACTCAGCCAACTGAGCTGGTGTGATGGGTTGGAATCCATACACTTGAGGACCGGGGACATCAGCAGGAATGGATCCGTTTGGCCCAGCAGGATGGAGGCTTTGGATGTCATCATTTCTCAAGTTGAGCATCTCGCAGTAGACGTCATGGTCTGGCGTCAATACGATGTACTCTTGCGAGCTATGGTCGACCACTGAAAGGATCACTCGAGTGTTATAGACAGGTGGCTGTTCCCCGTAATTGATGAACAGTACATCCCCTGGTTGGTAATTCATCCTTGAGTCAGTTGAAACCCTCTAACTGGATTGTATACACCTTGACCCTTGGCTTTGCCCTTCACTGAAATTGCTAACTCCTGTTCTCCAACCTTACAGACAAAGGAAACCTTGCACGCCAGTACAGCGTTATCTGCCAAGACACCTATGCAACACAATGCACCAAGCCACGAGTAGATGGATGGAGTGCTTGAGTTGCTTTCCAGTGGCTGCAGAAGCTGGCACGCACACTCGCAGCGGCAGGGCGGACAGCTGGGCACCTCTACCTTCTCGGTATTGATGAAGCGCACCAGCCACCCAACTGCAAATCCAAGGGCGCCAGCAGCAAGATGGGCCCCGTCCATGTCACACTGAACAATGGGAGTCTTGAGATACAGACGGCCCCACAAAATCAAACATCAGCTGGCTCTATCAATCAACTACAAGTAGAGGCAATATCTATACATTATGTAATTTATATATGTGTGTGTGTGTGATTATATAGTATATATCATATAGTGTATGTTATATATTGTTTATAATATATTGTATAGTAGATATAATATGTTGTATATATATATATATTGTATATAATATAATGTATATTATATATATTGTATAGATGGTATATTGTATGTTGTATATTATTATATATATATATATTCTAGTTTATGTATTTTACATGATATATTGTATATGTATTCAATATTATATGTAATGTAATATTTATATATTATATACTATATATGTGATATATTAAATGTTAAATATATCGTGTACATTAATTATCATTCAAATTACATATCATATGTGTTTTTCATAACTTAAATATTGTATAGTGTGTCTTATATATATTATATATATAATCTTTTATCTCACATATTATATCTAATATATTATGAGATGTACTATATATAATATATAATGATTATCTATATTGTATAATATATATATATTGAATTAAACTGTATATGTATATTTTATATTTTATATGTGATAGTAATACATAACATATATATATATATCATGTTATATCACCAGGCATCGGTACAGCAGGAGGGCAGTGGCACTTTGGTAAGGACGAACAACTCACGCTGCAACTGGCCCACATTTCGGGTCGTGCTGGCACCTCTGTCCCAGTGAATGCGGTTTTTTTCAAAGCTGGCAATTGGAGAGACTTCATTCTAGTCCTATTGAGTTGCATCGCGGTGGCGTTGCCTGCACCGTTTCTGGCATCCTCAAAAATCCGGAAAGCAGTGCGACTCCAAATCATGTCCTCGTCATCAATATCAATGACTGGCGGGACGGGCCTGGCATGGAACATGTACCAAAATTAGACTGGAAGAGTCAGAGCACATAGGAAGTTCCAAGATCGCAACAAAGGGACTGGTTAAACACCAGTCATATGAAATAACATTCCCATCCCAGTTGAAACCCAACAGCTACTACTGCTGAAAAACGTATCAAAGAACATGAGAACATATCTTTTATATATCATTATATATCCATTTCTTTTGTCCAGTTCTTTTCCATTTTTGTCCGGATGCTCCAGGTTTTCTACGCTCCAAAATTGAGCGGCCAAGGTACACAGACACTTCTTGCGTCTCAGCTTCTCCCGAAGCCTGGCAGCGTTGTCTCCAAAATGCCAAGCAATGCAAAGCTGACTCATGGACTCCCATGGACTCCCATGGGCTCCTATGGACTCGCAAATCTTACCATGCCAGCTGCCAAGATCCTTATGCAGCTAGTTTCAACGTATTTAAATTAGATGAATTCATTCAGTGGTTGCCAAAGGTTTGTTCAAAGTCCTTCTGAGACTACAAAGCTGACGTTTTGTAGTACCTGAAAATCACTATGTCAGGCTCAGCAGCCGAGTGCTAGCTCAGTTTGGTATGGCCTCATCTCCCTAAAGTTCACCCATGACACTACGCCAGAAGCTGTGAGGAGCAACAAGATTGTGGCTTTCCAGTCAGCTGTGATTTGGAAATCAACATTCACTCGGGACGCTTGGGTAGCGGGAAGAATCAGGAAGAAAGAAGTTGAACGTCCATCCTGCTCTCACCTCCGCAAGCATGAGCAGCACTGGCTTTCCATCATTCACAAGCCTTGCACGGACTGATGACAACAAGGCACGATGGACTGAGCAGCAATGACAACTCCAAACACATCAAGACCAACATTGACACACCCACAAAGCGAACGAATGACACCGACAAGAGCGACAACCATTGCCGGTGGTAGCTGTGACCGTTGCGGCAAGTGCAATCGGAAACAAAAGAGGCACAGCCTCCTGTGGCACTATCAGAATCAACAGCAGTACAGGATCAACAAGAGGAGGGGCTATTTCTGAGTGATTCAATCCTTCAGGCCCTGTGGTAGAAGCAGCTGCATCAAGTATTCCAACTCAGGCTCCGCTTTCGTGTGGTTTCTTTTAGTTGAAATCCACTGCAGGTGCTTTCAATACTAACCGGAATCTACTGCTCACTCACGGCGCCCAAAGCTAGTATCAAACACAGTAGCCATGCAGGCCATACACATGGGAACAGCAGTTCTCTGACACAAAGAGCGACACCTCACCGTCCATGATTTCTGCAGCAACTTTGCAATCACAGCTACAGTAGCAACAGAAAGAGCAGCATCCAGGGCGGCAGCAACACCCTCCAGGAAAAGCACACCCTGCCATTTCTATCCATCTCTTATATCTTCATGAATCTTCTCCCTTCTCTCGAAAGGTTTCAAAATCTGGGCATCCACTGCAATTGCAAATACATGTTGGCAGGGAAAATTAAACAACTTAGGGCCACGCTTGCTAGGTGACCGTTGGCTATCAGGCGTATCCAGCTTGGCCTGCGGGTCCCGCATTGCAAGGAAATTTCTGGACATGTCATGCTATGTGCATGGGCATCTGTGTGTCTGTGTGTGTGTGTGTGCGTTTGAGCACGCTGCATGCATTGTCTACAGTGGAAGCAACTTACGTAATGTAGTGTATAACAAATGCAATGACATGCAATGCAGATCAATGCAGTATATGCCAGGCAAAGTAAGGTCATGTTATGTGACGCAGACCTATGCCATGCAGTGCTGTGCAATGTACTCGTATTCCATGTGCAATGCATTTGTTCCTTTGAATATCTGTGGGTCTGTTGGTCTATGTCTGTCTGTTTGCATGTACCGATGAAAGGATGTGCAATGGATGTGCATGTGCGTGCACCTGTACATAGATGAGGACAGACAGTGCACAATCAGGTGTGAGGCTGCGGACGGGAAGCGGACTACAACATCATGATATATCATGATTCATGATTGTAAAAATCCTAAAACATAGGACTTCAGAGCACTCAAAGAGATCTATTCAGCCCAAACACTTTCAAAGCTGCAAGCAGCGAAGCACGCTGCTCAATGCTCTCATCAACATGGCCTGGCCACATCGTATGTTCAGGCAAGCAACTCAAGTACAACATTACTTTATCTTGCAATATCAGATATCACAAAACAGCTCAATCAGCCAAAAGTTGGTGACCCAACAGCAGTGACGCTTCCAAATTCCAAGGTCAGAAGGTCCCCGAGTAGCGTCCATGTTTGGGTCACATTTTATATCCAAGCGTGGAGGCAGTATGACAGACAAAGTGGGCGACGCAGCGGGAGACCGAGGTTGAGACAAAGTGAGGGACGAAGCTGGAGATAAAGCGGAAAAAAGAAGAAACAAACTGCGAGACAAAGTAGAAGACAAAATGGGTGACATGATGGGAGACGAGGTGGGGGTTGAAGTGGCACACAAGCTGGGAGACAAAGTGGGGGACTGAGTCGGAGACATAGGAGACAAAGTGGGAGACAAAGCCGGGGACACAACAGGGGACACAAGGGAATACAAAAATATACAAAGTGGGAGACAAATCTATCAAAATCTGAAACAAGTCGGAGACAAAGTGGGGGACAAAGCGGGGGCCAACAGGAGGACAAAAGGAGATACACAGTGGAATAGTGGAAGACACCAAAGCCGGAGACAAGTTGGCAAACAAAGTCAGTGGGAGATAAAGTGAAAGACAAAGCAAGAAACACAGTAGAGACAAAGTGGGAGACAAGCTGGAAGACATAGTCAGAGACAAAGCAGGGTCAAAGCGGGAAACAAGTGGGAGACAGAGTGAGGGACAAAGTGGGTGAGGTAGTGGAATAGTAGAAGACACAAAAACCACCCCGGGGAGGGGGCGTGGTGGTATCACTTCTTGGGTGAAACTACCGCGTGGGAATTGACCCGGTACAACTACCTCCTAGGACGTGAACTCAGTGAACTTGCTGGTTGGGCAAGTTCAAAAGGCTTTGCCGAGAACGCTTTTGTAACTTCTGCCCACGAAGTTACCGGTTGCGAGGATATAGTCGAGAGTCCCGCCTTTAGGGGCACTCTTGAGAACGCTTGTGAGCTGTTGGTCACTCCTTTTTCGTCGACTAGGCTTTGTTGAGATGAATGAGAATTTGGGAGAGTTGGCTCACTTGCCGAATGACGCAAGTCGAAGTTGAGTTGTGCGGTTCGAGGGGTTTTCCAACGGGTGACTCCTTTTCCAAAAGCTCCACGACGCAAAAACCAGAGACAAGCTGGGAGACAAAGTGGGAGACAAAGTCGGAGACAAAGTGAGAGACTAAGTGAGATACAAGCTGGGAGACAAAGTCAGGGACAAAGATTGAGACCAAGAGGGAGACAAAGTGGGAGACAGAGTGAAAGACAAAGTGCGGGACACAAGCTGGGAGACAAAGTGAGGGGCAAAGCGGGCGACGTAGTTTCATAGTAGAAGACACAAACGCCGGAGACAAGCTGGGAGATGAAGTGGGAGACAGAGTGAGAGACAAGGTGCAACACACAGTGGGAGACAAGTTAGGAGACAAGTCTTTGGGACACAAGGTGGGAGACAAAGCGGCAGAAAAGGTTCCAAGGTTCCAGATGGGTAAGTGGGAAAGACACTGGGAAACACGGGGTTTCAGGTTCCAGATAGGAGGCACAGTGCCACACACAGTGGGAGACACAGTGGGGGACAAGGTGAAGTTCTGTATGGAGGCAAAACACTGCACCTGCCGCGCATTCTATGCGTCAAATCCGAAGACGTGCACTATGCGGGCTCTATTCTAAATATTCTAATTACATTGCGCGCGCTGACTCGGAGCTCTGGAGCTGTGAATTTGGCTGAAATCTGCACTTGGGAAAAGTGCCAAGGCGCACGCGTGGTGCAAGCCTTAGAAGTTCCCACAAATTCTGTCCAAAAACAAGTCGACTTGTTCAAGGTTGGCCCAAGATTACAGTCAAAGCTGACCTTTCAACAAGGTGAAAAGGGAAGTTAAGCCAGCACGGCCAATCAGGGAGGAGAAGACAGTAGCCATTGCATCAGCCAGAATCGTCTGTGACAATGCGTGTCACATACGTCAGTGAGCATGAAATTGTCTGCCATTGTTGCTGCAAGTCATTTTTTTTCGGCGAGGTCAATACTACACTCCTCATGGGTGGATGGGCTTAACCAGAAACTCCAGAAACCTTCAAATTTGCATCTTGGCAATACACATTCCTTGTGGCATGTTCTTTGTAGAGCCACAAGCAACTCCACCCTGCGTTTCAATCTTCAGCTTGCGGGCCAACGCGCACCTTTACTAACAAAATGCTGTAGAATTTACCGTTCGTAGACATGCATAGACCGTCATAGACCCGCAAAGTCTTGCTTTGGGATAGATCTTCTGCCAATGAAGCGAGCCAAAGGCTGCAAATAACAAAGCGTCTGAGGCTAGGTCTGGCAATTCTCCTTCACTTCCCACAAAACAAGTGTGCTTAAAGCCCTGCTCAAACTTGCATGCTGAAGAGATATGAAGAGTATGCAAAGTCTGACTTCTTTTTGCTGTTCATCCATGTTGCATCTGGTTCAACTTGCCGTGGAGGCCGCTATGTATGCGTTCGAAGGAGTCCACCTTGAATTCAAGAAGTTGAGAGACAACAATGCCAGGAATTGCAAACATTCAAGCTTACTTGTCACATCTTATTACTCTGCTTCAAGCGATTCAATGCTGCCATGCCGGTGCCACAAATCCAAGGCCAGTGCCCACTTTTGCAATCCAGTGAATTGCTTTGCCTTTTCTCCACCACCGGAGCTGACTTGCAGAAAGCCCTCCAAGCGTGCAAAACCAAGTGCACACACCGTCACAGCAAGCATTAAGAAAGCACTTGCAAGATTTCCCCAGATGTCCGTTATTTTACGTCCAGGAGTCCGGGAAAGGTTGACGTACCATCCGTACCATGTCACCTTTCCAGGCAGGCCTCGATGCCATCTATTCTGGCAGCAATCTTCTCATCCAAAATCAATTGGACCAATAAAGAAACGACCTGGCGCGCAGCGCAGTGTGTGCTGCAAGCACCTGCAACTTCATTGAGCTGCGAGCATGTTCTTCTAAGATGTTCTAAGCATGACTGTTTGCACCGAGCGCCAAAGACCCGTGGAGCAGGAAGCTAAATTAAGTCTAGATGTGTCCACATGAAGGGTCTTGGTGTGGAGATACAGGCTTTGCCCAACGACCTTTAGCAATTTGGAGTCTCTTTCCATTACATGTTGTGCCTGCCTTGAGCGCATCTCATGCCTAGATTGCGCAATTTTTACGGATGTTGAGCCTGCACTGAACTAGCTAGTGGCAGGCTATTCCAGTCTCAAACGAGTGGTTGGTTGCCCAAATACCCATGAAATGTTGACAATAAGTCTTCATTCGAGTTTGTGATTCTCCCGGCCAACCACCCCACAAAGTATATATGTGTTTCTGTTTTTTTTGGCGCCTATAAAGATTTGTTCGGCCGATATTGAGCCGATATTGGGCTCCTCTATTGAGTATATTTTTTCCTGCCGTCTTAATGCTTCTTGTCCAGCAGTTGGAGCCCATTCAGTACACTATACAATCCAATATATAGTTGTTCTGCGATAGGATGTCAGCTGTCTTTATACAAGCTGCAGAAGTCTGCCTAATTACGCAGACTGTTGGCGAAATTGTTCCCAAACGAAATTTTAAAGGTCACTCGTGCATGCAGGTTGGTGACATCTCGAGTCTCGCTATTCGGATAAAAACTTTGATGTATCGCAACTGCCCGTCTGAGCAGGCCTTGCCTAACGGTGTCAGGTCATGAAAGGTGTGTCTTTCTTCGTTTGTTGTGTTTTTCAGTCTGGGATTGCTTTCCTTGCTATTTGCAGCATTTCAGAATTGAAAGGTTTCAGGTATTAGCGGTATTTTGCACCAAAATCTGCAATTTGGATTGTTTTTGCGGCATACGTACAGCATTTTGGAGCTCAAATGTGGACTTTACACGATATTATTTACAGCGTGTTTCAGCTGAAAATTAGACACGCATTTGTACTCAGCGATGTGCTCTACAGGTTGAAATGTCCTGCAAACATTCGATCCAGGTCGCTATGATTATCGTTCCACCCCATGACACACTCTGAAAATTCAGGATCCGGATCTTGCCCTCCCACAGTTCACATGTTTCTGACTACTCACTTTTGTGCATAACATGTGCATTCGTGTTTATATAGAATTGATAAAGAGGAAGAGAGAGATATCAATGTGCACGTTATTTGCAACATTTCGAAAAATGAAATCTGTAATTTGCATTGTTTCTGCGAAAGTTCGAAACCAACATCTTTGAGTTGTACATTTCTGGAAGTTTCGAATTTCAATCTCTCATTGTTACTGCAAATGTTTGTGCATGGCATTTTGTAGTTGAACTTGTCATGCGGCTGGCTGTGGGATAAGATTTTGGCTCCTTGTTGTGTTAACTGGTGTTGGCTGTAAGCTTTCATAGCGTTCTTCTTGCTGTTCTTCATGTTTCCTTTACTGTATGCACAATAGCAGCATATCAGAGATTGAATCTCTATTTGCTTTGCTCTATATTTGCAATGATGTTGCCCATAAACTCACGATTTAGGCAGTACTTTGCGATGGAGGAGTGCAAATGTCGTGGGGCAGCAAGGCTTTATCTTCTTGCTATGTGTCTTGTCTTTGCCGTCCTTGTCATCCCTGTTGTCTTCAAATGCTTTGGTGTTTCTTGCTGTTCTTGCTGCCGCTGTTGATCATCGTCATCGATGCTGCACAATGAAGCCACCGTGAAGCCACAATACAGCCACATGAACCTCAGAAGCCAAGAAGCCAGCAGCAGTTTAGCGCCTGAATGTGACATTGCCATGCTACTTGAGTGGTATGAACCTTGAATCTCTCATTTTCACGTTGTGCAAACCATTTGCAGCAATTTCCAGCTTAGTTTTGTAGTAACTGATGATTTTTTCTTCAGAATCTGATTGTGACTTTTGTGGAAGGTGCATGCTTTGAGTTAAAGCGCAAATTTCGTGGCAGGTGCGGGAGTGTGGGGCATTGGAGATTGAGGGCGCAGCGCCCTTTCTAGGAAACAAAAACATGTGTTCCGTTGTTGGCATTGCATTCTCCTGTTTGTGCTGATTTTTGCATTCTTGTTGATTTTTCCTCTTGCCAATGTGTACATTGTTGCCGGCACATGGCTATTGAAGGCTAAAGCAAGGTCAATTTCTGATTTGAATTGAAACGGCAATTGCAGCATTTTCGTACAGAAATTAATATATCTTAATTGTATTTGCAGCACTTTGAGCTAAGATTCTTGCTGGCTAGTGCTTTTCGACGTTTTTAATATTGGATCTTGGACTTGCTCCCGAATGCGTAGCGAAGTTTTTGTTTTCTTGGTAGGGTGTCTAGGGGTGGAGCCTTCTTTGCGGTTCGTTCTCGCCCGCGAGTCTCTAATCGCGTCGCCGCCGTGCCTATGGCCATTGGTGCAAAGCGTGTCGTTTTGCAGGTGACAGAGCGATTTCGCGTGGCAGGTGCGGCACGTGGTGGCACTAAGGCGTGAAATGTTGCACGGTGCTGTAAATCGACCCCTCGCCGTGCCTACTGCTGCAAAACATGTCATTTTGAAGGTTGGAAATGTTACTTCGTGTGGCGCGGCACTTCGTAGCAATCTGTTGCGAAGTGTGTCACGGGTCTCTAAATCGCATCACCACCGTGCCTATGGCGATTGCTGCAAAAGTTGCCGTTTTGAAGGTCGCGCGGCAGGCGTGACACTTTGTTGCGCTTCGGCGTGGTGCTGTTCAAATTGCTATACTCACGTCGCTGCCGCGACTATCGCAATTGCGTGCAATTGCTGCACAGCAGTTGGTTTTGAAGGTCTGAAATGTCGTTTTGTGTGGCAGCGTGGGGTGTAGATTGGGTGTGGAGCTTAGAGTATGGAGTGTAGAGTGCGAGGTGCAGGTACAGAGCGTAAAGTGTGAAATGTAGATTTGGTGTTGGCTGCGGAGTCTTCAGTGGCGATTGCTGCATGTGTCTGTTCCGTGGAAATGTTGCAACGAGTGGCTGTTGTGTGGTCGTATGCCTTTGTTTGTTTCCGATGTCTTTTTGCACTTCTTGACGTGTTTGTTTCTGATTCCGCTATGTTTGGGATCTACATTGTTCAGTGCGAGACTCATCGAGGTGTGGGCATTTTAAAGAGACAACAGGTTCAAACATTTTAAGTAGTCGCGGAAATTGTGTCCAGTTATTATATGTCATGTGTTTTCAGACATGTTTCAGAGGAAAGTGTGGATACAAAGTGACATGATGTTGGTGAAACATTGTTAAGGCTTCTTTGAAGGTATCTAATGTATCTATATACATGTTCGGCATTGTGTCGCAATAGCTCCTCAAGGAGAGTCAGGATTTGAATGTGATGAGTTGCTGCCTGAACTTTGGTCTTTCCGTGTCACACATTCGCAAGCAGTCCGATAGCAGCAATGTCACATAAGGTTATCTCGTCCGGCGTGGCATGCCTTTCGCTGCCTGCGGCTCCACAGTACGCCCAAAACGTCTGCATCATGTTTCCATGTTTCTTTGCGTTTCTTTCCTGGTCTAACTCATCGAATGTCCATTGACTAAATGCATTCGGGTTCGTGGATTCTATCAGGGTTTTCTCGCCATTATTGTTGCTGTTGATCCTTTCCAATGTTCCGCGGGTGCGAGGTTGCTTGGGCTACTGAGTGGCTACTGTTGCATTAAATCATGTGGATGTTCAAGCACGTTTTGCCTGGCCCAGTCAAGGACTTCAGGCCACCAGCGCTTGAGCAGAACAAAGTGTCAGTGTTTCTGGACATACCCCACTCCAGCCCATCTACAAGGTGCGGAAATGTACACAAATATACAAAGATGTTTTTGCCCCGGCGCATCCAGATTCTTGGACATAAACTACATAAACTTACTTTTTGAATCAAAAAGTGCCATTTCAATTCAGTCACTTAATATCACTTAATGATACCCCAAGTGGATCACTTCGACAAGGGGTTAGAGCACAGCAAGTGACTCAATTCGTTTTGCGTGATGTGTAATTACCTGCAATTACATATTTGCAGCTGCAAGCCAGTTTTGTGCCTCGTCACTGGTGACATTAATCTCCTTCGCTAGGAAGTCCAAGCTAACGCAACGGTATGGTTTGATCAAGTTCTGAAGCACCTGTCCACCACATCAAGACAATTACAGTATAATGATTCGAAGTGATACAACTTCCTCTGTTGGATATGTGCAAGCATCGAAGCACCGCATGATGTGAAAGCAACATTACTTGACATGTCTGGCCTGCAACCGTATATTTCGCAGCAAATCCTGTTTGGCCAGAACAAATTTTGCCAATCTCAAACCAATCAATTCAATAAAAGATTTGCTGAATCAAAAAACTGTGCCTGCAAGTAGGTGCGAATGAAAGCATCAGACAGGATCCGGTAGGACGGGTTGGTCAACAGCTGGTCAATGGTACCAATGTCATTTTGCCTTGCAGAAGGCAAAGCGAATCAGTCGAATCAGGAAAGGATCATGGATGTTGCTGTGAAAGATGCTTGAGCGTCGTGCTCATAAGCCGTTCGAAGAGAGGCCATTGCACTGATTTCAGGATCATCCTGATAAACCTGACAAATCGAAATGCGGCAACTACTCAGGAACAAGGTCGCGTTCATCTATTTTAGCCACTGGACCTTTGCTTCGCGCGAGTCAAATGGATTGATGGAAGACAGCGCCAGCATATTAGCCAGTACCTTCAGTCATCGAAACTGGGATAGAAGCAAGATCAACGGACATTCGTTATATGACATTGGTTTCATTACATTGCATGACCGCACGTGACATGATATGAGATGACATGACTTTGCATTGCACTATATTCCATTGCATTACATCACATTACATCACATTGCATTGCATTACGTTGTACTGCATTGCATTGCATTGCAATGCACGCACCCAAAAAATCCACCAATGCGTGCTCAATGTTTTCATTACACTGCATTGCATTACAATACGTTACACAAGCTACATACATGTATGACTCCATGACCAAACCATAACATACCATGACATACTATGACTATGACATACAAAACACATATAGTAAGGCAAATACTATCATAAAATAGCAGCACAAGCATACAAGCAAACCTGCCTGACCTTGCATGAAATTACTGGCGCTACTTTACTTGAATTCGAATTGAATTGCAGTTCATTACATCACATTGCATTGCTGTTCATACGCATACACAAGTATATGAACGCGAATGCTTTTGTTAGCTACATTTGAAATGAACAAATCAAACATGTAGACAACTATACACACTGGCTCGCCACTCTACCTAACTCTACCTAACTCTACCTAACTCTACCTGAGAATCCTGCCACATATTTCAGCATGATCTTTGCCCTGCTTGCATTGCCAGTCTCCTGGTAGTTCTTGAATGCTTCAAAGAATTCGTTGTACGCAGCCTGCGCGCAGTTGCAATTGTGAGTCTCTGCTGAGCAAACTCAACGGCAAATCCGCCGGCCTGCCGGCGTGTCTGATTGGAAGGTGTTGTTCTTGTTTCTGTTCTTGGCTTGTACTTGTTCCTTTGTTCTCTCGCTGCGCGTTTTTGCTTCGTCTGAATCAAGGTCACCCCCCCCTCCCTCCAAGTACTACTAGTACAAGTACTAGTACTAGTACTAGTACTAGTACTAGTACTAGTACTACTACTACTACTACTACGACTACGACTACGAGTACCACTACCACTACGAGTACCACTACCACTACGAGTACCACTACCACTACCACTACCACTACCACTACCACTACCACTACCACTACCACTACCACTACCACTACCACTACCACTACTACTACTACTACTACTACTACTACTACTACTACTACTACTACTACTACTTACGACCACCCACACCACCACCACCACTACCACCACTACCACCACTACCACCACTACCACCACTACCACCACCACCACCCCCACCACCCCCCGCCACCCCGCCACCACCGCGCACCACCGCCCGCCACCACCACCACCATTATGTTCACCAGACCATGCCATAGCTCAAAAAAATGGAAAAAACAAAAAGCAAATCAGCAAAATCCAAAAAACACAAAAGCAAAAAAAGGGGAAAAAAATGGAAAAAAAGGAAAATCAAAAAGAGAAAAAAAATGATGAAAAAATGGACTTGTCCATGCGCGTGTTTTTTGCATTTATTTTGCTTTTTCGATTTGTTTTTTGTTTGCTTTTATTTTTCTTTTTTCCAGTCAAAAAGCAAAATACATGCAAAATAAAAGCAAAAAAACAAATCAAAAAAAACAAATAAATGCAAAAAAATGCAAATGGACAAGACCATGTTTCCCCATTTTTCCCTTTTTGACGTTCCTTTTTTTCCCCATTTATTTTGCTTCCTGTTCTTTTCCGGTTTTGAAGTGTTGCTTTTTGATTATCCATGCGTTTTCCTTTTTTTGCATTTTTTCAAGTTTAAAAATCATTTGAACAAGCTATAGAGGACAACATAACACTACTACCACTCCTGCTCCTACTCCAACGCCCACTCCGGCTCCGACTCCTCTACCCCTTCCTCCTTTCTGTACTACACTGGTAGTGCCGGTAGCTAATGACATTGCCTACAGCATTACCGTCGTCTACAGGTACTCGTCACAGGACGCACAAGGTACTGATCGACCAGTACTCATTTGGTATGCTTTCCATTGGTTGTTCAAGCACGCACTTGCTACTCAAGCTGCTTCTGATCTACGGCTCTGTCTTCGTCTCTTCTTCTCTCAGGCTTCCACCTAGCGTGCACGTCAACCTCCCTTGGGGCCATCTCTTTCCCCTGTCTCCTTCCATGCAGCGGTCTGCTGTTGAGACAGAGGCTCATTCATAGTACCTGGTGCTACTTAGTACCTGGCGCTACTTTGCTGGGGGCGGTACTAATTTGGTATACGGTCAATAGGTTGTTACAGCAAACCTTGCTACACAAGCCGCTTCCGTTTTACGGCTTTGTCTTCGTCTTCCTTTCTTATTCTTCTTATTCTTCTTATTCTCCTTCTTTTCTCTTCTGCTCTCTCGCGGGCTTCCACCTAGAATGCACATCAAACTCCCTTGGGGCCACCTCTCTATGGCCGGCGGGCTTGCCGAAGGCAATTAAATAGCCAAACACTGCAGCTCGAATCCATTACAAACCACAAGCGCATGACTCAAACCATGGTATTTAGAAAGCTTCACTTCATCTGCTCTTGGCATCGCCTAAAACATCCCTTCATGATACTGTCACACACACTTCTGGAGAGAACGTTGAAGTATTGAAAGTGAACAGCAAACTCTGCCAACAAGACTCTTCATATCTCTTCATGGAACAAGGAATTACAGAGCGAATACTTAGTGACACACGCATATAGATGTCCGTGGCTAGGATACAGAGCTGACAGATGCAAATGTTTTGTCATGTATGCATACAAAGCTCCACAGGCATTGGAATTGCAGTTTTGATCCCTCTTGCTTCCTTTTGATTCCTTTTGGTCCCTTTTGGTCCCTTTGGTCCCTTTTGATCATCACCACTGTGTGAGACATTCCCTTCATGGTATAGAAAAAGTCTACAGTATCAACTGCAAGAAACTGCAAGACTATTATATGTGGCGAAGCAAAGTATTGCATCATATCCATGATGGGTGGTGACCTGAAACTGCATGGCCTCCCACTTCTTCTCGCTCATGAACATCTTGCCACCACTTTCACGAATGACAGCGATGTTTCGTGGATCTGCAATCGCCTACCAGGAGAATTGCTATGAGTCATGTTGAGTTGATATGAAGAATGACAAGCAATGACAAGCAATGACAAGCAATGACAAGCAATGACAGGCTGGCCGATGTAAGATTGATGGTCTTCGGGTAGATCTCCTTGGCCCATGGTAGAATAGTCAGTGTTCTCAGGGACAAGTGCAGAAAGTGCAGTTGAAAGTGCAGTTGAAAGCAAACACAACCAGTGTCAGCAATGCGCACAAAGTTTCCTTCATGCGGAGGGAATTCTTGGTCAGCGTGCACATCTGAAGCAGTGCAATGGACAGAATAATCTGGACTCAAAATTCCATGTCAATTTTTTACAGCCATCTTTGCCTGAATCTCCAACGCATACACTTCCAGCAAGTGCGAGCCCTGCTCAGCTTCACCGGTGAATCGTGGAAGTCTTTCCTTTTCAATACAAGACAGCCAAGCTTAGTAGCTTAGCAACAAACTTGTCAATTGTTGCTTCAAATCAATGCAAGCCGACTAAGCCAATCCGACCTTGCTCACATCATCTGTACCATCAGCCTTCTGGCAAGTCCGGTGCAGGGCCTGGACTGCTACGTCGACACTTCACATGTCATCACAGCACGGAATTCGATCCAATGCCGTCCAATTCCAATTCGATCCCCTCGCTCGTTCATTCCGTTCATTCCGTTCATTCCGTTCATTCCGTTCATTCCGTTCATTCCATTCATTCCATTCATTCCATCCACTCACACTGTAAGTTCCCGACCTTCACAAGCCTCTGCAGCTTCTGCACATCACCTGAACTGTCAGACCTATCTCAACTGTTCACAAGTCATCACTGTGCAAGGGGCAAACCCGCCGAAAGCTTATATAAGCCATGAAACCCATTTCAAGGTGAAGCTTCGCCAGCTTCACTGAAGTGCTGAACCATAGCCTGCAGCACTTGTTGGGGGGCTAATTCGCATATTGGCTTCAAGCTCACGTCTGAAAGAATGGCCTGAAAGAATGCACAGAAAGATCAATTTTTTTTTGGTCGTCACAATCTGGAACCATCAATTCCGTATTCAAACCAGGAGGCGGCTGACCCTCCCTTTCAAATCTGAGAGGCCTCTGGTTGGCAGTTGCCTTCAATGCGTCGAGGGTTAGCTCGTATATCGTCTCGAGCTTGGCCAGGTCACTTGCAGATGATACCGAATCGAGCACCTTGGCAAGACAAAGCGAAAGTCCTTTGAGGCACAATCAGACCTGACCTACCCCCTTTGAGTTTTCATCGTGAATCTCAATCCACGCTGGAATAGCGCATGGTACAACATTTGCTTGCACATCTTGAAATCAACAGCTAAGCACTTTGCCGTGTTGATGGCTTCAGAGGCATCGTTTCGAGTGACCTGACCACCAGAATTACGCAATTATGCATACTTTCAGCTTGCCGGGACAATTCGACTACACATGGCACACCAACTCTGGTTTCAAGACCCGTGAACTTGGTAATTCAGCCGTAGATTGGATCTAGATTGCACACGCCTGAAGAATCTTCACTGGTCACTAGTCTGACCCACTCACGTGCGGACCTACCTGGTCCATGTAGCTCAAAAGTTCTCGATATCGAGAAGCCATTTCATCAAACCGTCCAATTCGAGCGCCTTTGCTTGCCCCCATGGGAAGCTCGGTTGATGTGTACATTACATGGGTGGAGTTTTTTGGTCGCTCCGATTGCACGAAGAACCTGTGAGAATCCTGGAGGCAGAAGCTGCCCTCGATGGATTTAACAAATCCCCTTCAGTATCCTTCAGTTCTTGGAAAGAAAAGCTCCCGTTGAGACTGCTCTGAGGACGCGGCAAAGAATCACAATGTTCTGCAAAGCCTTGAACCTCCAAACCACCTGGTATCACACTGTACTGTACTTGCCAAAAGGCTAGAAGAAAGCCACGAAGCTACAGTATTTGAAATGCACACCACATTTTCCATCAAGCGAACAACCATTCTAAGTTGTTTGTGGTGTCCAAGTAGCCTTCTGGGTTGCGGTTGCATCCCACGTTAGTTTGCCCTTTCCCTATCTTCACCCAAGATCATCGAGACTTTCAGCACCTTTCTATAGCCATGGTTACAAGTCAATATCAGAAGCAATGTCTAGGTACATTGTTATGACAACCGAAAATGTGAGCCATGCCAGCTTGCTCCTCAACAGTCGATGTTGATTCGGCTCACTAAATACTCTGCTTCCTTGCCTTTACAAACTTTTCACAAGGTTACAACAACATGACAATGACAATGATTCAATGCCGATGAATATGAAAATGACAACATCGATAATGATGACCATGAAAGTTCAGATGAACGGTGCTGTGGAATCATTGAGTCCATGACACTGTGCCAAACAAAAGATAATGCTGAACAGTACAGGCGTTGCATGCCACGTAACGCACCATCATTGTGAACTTTCGCGTCTAAAGATGGAGAGAGCAGAGGATCAAAGACTGCAGATTAGTGAGGTCTAAGATCTACGAAGCTTGCAAAATAAAGAAAAAACATACAAGAGCGTGCAAGGAATTGAGCACAGCTGTTTCCAATCAACCATCTGGTCCGTGCCAAAGTGAATGAGAAGTGACTCAGCTGAAGGTAAAGCTGAGGCCCACCTCACTTCCACGAGCTGCCTCCAATGTAACTACTCTTTGGAATTGTTCCAGGGCCTACGCAGCAGCAAAACACAATGAAAGTCATAAAGGCCAGGACGAGTGGAAGACAATGAGTCAGAGTTCAAGACGAAGGCTTCACACGAAGGTTTAAGAATGGTACTGGTTTGCACGCCTGCTCAGGAAAATTCTGCTTGTTGTCATCAGCCTGTTGATGTCGGGAATTTTGTACAAACAACAACTAGAGTCACAGAGCAATCGTAATACATCCATGTATGGAAGTATAAACATATCTGCGATACCCGTAATACATCCACTGTTGGGTCTTGTGGACGGAGACGTGGTGTTTCACTTTGTGAAGCACTCAATTGAGAAACTGCAGAAAGTGAAGTGTCTTGTTTTTTCAAGACTACTGTACAACAAGTGCTGCATTCTGCTGAGAAAGTATGGCCCCGAAGCGGCAATCCTTCACGAAGCAATACACTGTAATGTATAGAATTCTTTGAGAAAGTGAATGAGAAAAGGGCAGTATGCCGCATGCCTCTAAGAAAAGGAGCTGGATTCACTTCTTCAGGGCAGTGTCTATATATTTTGATATGTTGGTGAATCATTGGTTCCATTGCAATTAGAGAGCCCGTATCCCTTCTATTTTTTGTTCCTTTGGAAGAGTGCAGTGCAGTAATCCTTTGAAGAAGTACAGCCTCCTGGTAAAGACGAGCCGCATTTATGGAAAAGCGTAGCAGACTTTGACAAAATAGAGTTCTAGACAAAAAGCGATGTGCTTCCAAGAATCAGAAAGTACTGTTTCCATACTGCCATACTGGAAGCATTGCGAGAAAGTCAGCGTTCTATGCAAGGCCGCCCTCGTGGAACAACGGCATATTCTCTCGATCGGTGCATTATTCTCAATGGGAAAAAAAGAAAACAGAGTTCGAGGAAGTGCAGCATGTTGCAGAAAAGTGCAATCTCACAAGCAGGGTTCCTTTTCCTTGCCACTTGGTGCTCAAGGATTAGAAGCCTCAAGAAAACCTAAGCCACCAAAACAACCAATATCTGTATATAAAATAGCACCTGATGAATTGGTGTGCTCAAGAATACTAAGGTCACCTCATTCATCATGTAGATTCAGAGCAGTCCGTAATTTTTCGGTCAACCATTTGCAGTGAGGGTTTGGTATGTGAGGTTGTGCATGTGTATATGGATTCTGAATATGCATACGGCATACGCATATTCTTATCTAATTGTATCTGTATGTGTACGCGCGCGTGTGTGTGTGTGTGTTGGTGGGTTTATATGCGTGTGTATCTGTGTATGCGTATGTGTATGCCTGTGAGAATATGTATGTGTAGATTTACATTTAGATTTATATTTACATGTTTATCTACGTATATATATATATACATATGATTATATATATGTTGTATATTTATATATATAATTATATATTAATATAGAGATACAGACATAGATGGGAATCTAAGTATATGAGTTACTCAACTTCTTGCTTCTGGAAGGTACCTTCGAACACTCTTAGTCTCTTGATACATCTCAATGCTCTAAATGCTGTTCTAAGACCTTTAACTTTATGGAACTATGTAGGGTATGGTATGGCGTTGTCATTTGCCTGGAGAAGCTAAGGAGGGACTACCATCATCAAGATCATCCTCATCCTCAGCCCCCCAAAACCCCTGAACTGCCCCCACCCTAGATAGTTGACCTAGCATTTGAGGATTCCTGTGAATCTATAAGATGCAATATCAACATATATTTTAACATGTAACATGAACGTATCCATATCCGCGTCAACACATAATTATAAATACTCTTGCATATAGATGTGGATACAATATAAAAGCGAATAAATACATACACAATGTTTGCACGCGGTCCAAAGCAATATCAATTCCAAGAAAACACAATCGGGTGACCGAAACCCCACAAACGATGGGGATAAAATGATCACAGATGTGCACCCAGGAGTACAAAATAAACAAAATATGTATATGTGTGTATAATATTGTATAATACACGGCTAAAAGATGATATATAAATACATACATTACGTTACGTTACGTGACGTGACATGACATTACATTACATTGCATTACATCACCTCACATTACATTACCTTACCTTACCTTACCATACCATACATACATACATTAATTACATTACATTACATTGCGTTACATTACATTGCATTACATTACATGACATGACATGACATTACACTACATTACACTACATTACACTACATTACATTACATTACATTACATACATACATACATACATATTTTCCACTAACTTATATCTGTATACTCTTGCACAAATATTATATATACACATATCATACACAAAAATAGTCATAGATAGATATACACATTATCACACAATATTACACATCTATTTGGTAACGGTTCGTATCAACTGTGTGCAAGGACAGGGAAGCACTTAATTTGGCACCTCGTAGAAAGTGTTCTCTATCTGAATTGCTTCCTCGTCCCCATCCTCCACAGTTCCAGGAGTGCCAGGCATACAGCCTACAATCGCTACAGCCTGTGCCAGCTACACAGAAAGCATGGCCTCTTCCTCAGCACCGCCATATGGGTCATCATCCGACTCATACTCAAACTCATCTGAATCAGACATGAGTTGAGCGAAGTGGGCCTGGATCAACAGTTGCAAATGGTGATGCAACAGCATTGTAGACATACATCATGTGTTTGACACGCGCACTTCACATCTTGCAAAATCCAAAGGCGCTTTTCTTACCCTAGCAGGCCCTAGCACTGATATACCGGAGATAACCAAGTCCTACCACTTCTCCTTAAAAAGGACACGGGAGTTGCAAAACAAAAAGCTAGTCTGAGAACTCTCGACATGATGCAGCTGTTTGTAGGTACACGGTCGTTCTTTCGATATGTTGATCTCAGATAATTCATCACAGGCTTAACAAGTGCACCAATCTTCACCAACCATGCAGTAGACACTAACACTTTTCTACACTAGAGCATGCTTCCCAATGGCACATTTACAGTTTCCCTCCTTCAGCTGTTCTCCAACAGACAAAATCCAGAACAAGAAATGCTGAATGCGGCTGAAGACCGCAAGAAGAACAAGGCAACAGGCACAGCCTTCCATTGCAACAGCTCAAACACCCATATCTTGAGCCAGGATTGCAGTCCAGAAATGAAAGACGCTGTCCGCTGCTGTCCTATTCACTTTGTTATTCACTTTGTTTCCAATCAAATGCTTCGAAGAGTCGAACGCTGTCCAACGCTGTCTCATGCCTCTGCTGATTATCAGCTTTCTCTGTCGCTCCGTTTTTTTCCTGGTGAGCCTTCGTCTGCAATCTGCACCTAAAAGGAATGGAAATTGTAGAGGACCACGCAGCACAGGCTGCCAGTCCCAAAGGCGACCAATGCTAGCTTGTTGAGTTTGTTGAATTTGAGTGTGAATATTAAGTTGCATTTGATACTGTATTTGGTGAGAAAAAAGCTGTTTGGGGCAAAGCTCTCAAAACACTTAATTGCAATCATCCTGTATAGCCTGCTTTTATTGTTCATAGGAGAGAGGTTGAAAAGAACCTAAGACTAGAAAGATCCGATGGCACAGATCAAAGGAGTTAGGACCGGTAATGAGTTTGAAGCAAGGTCCCAAAGTCTGCATAGATCGGAGCAGTGAGTAGGGCCAGTAGGGTTAAGATGGGTTAAGTGGGTTGAGGCAAACATGCTTTACTTGTGGATAGGGCCAAATCTCAGGATTCCTCACAGGATTCCAATTCCCTGGCGTATGTGGTGTGCCCATATTTAGTGCACGCCAACATCATTAAAGCATGTGCTGACCTATCTACAAATGCTACAGAATCTAGAATCTGCAGCTTGGGTTCACAAGGAGTCTTTGCCCGCTGTGGCTTGCTCATAGACTTGAGCAAAAGCGGGGTCCTGCAAAGGCATAAGAACAAGTGATTCTTTCACCAGACTTCACGTTGACCGATCCTGATCCTGACGGAATATTGATTTTCTTGGTTGCAAACTGCTATACTTCTGATCAGCTTGCAAAAAATTGCCAAAATGATGTCCTTCAGAATTCTGCCCATAAAGTCAACAAACACCTGAGAAGGCAGGGAACAATGCAGATTTCTCCAATTCGAAATGATTCCAACAAGTTTCAGAATTTTCAAGGAAGATACAGGCCTTATGCTGGTTGGCTTCGGCGATCGGCTCGACAACCTTGAGAGTTCTCGCATATAGTCTGAGCATGTCCATGGCCCGACCTGTGCGAAGCGGTCAAAGCTGAAAGCATGGTTCACCCGTTTTCACTCTGCCTTGACAGCTCTATCCGGCAGCTATCCGGCAGCTATCCGGCAGCTATCCGCTTGACTAAAATGGAAAACGTTTCTTTGAAAGCTTCGGTGCTTCCAGTTGGGTCTCTGGCCAACTTGCTGCTTTGCCTGCACCTGCTTACTCCATCTCACGATGCAGCGGTCGAACCTGTCACTTTCCACTGAATGTCAAGTGTGGATCTGGCTTTCGCGGCTTTTAGGCTTTTACCGCAAACAAGGCTGGATTGCGGTTCCACCAAATCTCCAACGCGGCCCATGATGCGGAAGAGAGCAAAATTCCAAGAGCACAAGTCCTGGAGCAACCTGGCACAGGGCATGCCACATGCTTCCGTAGGTCAGCGTCAAATGTTGCTGGTTGAACGATAACGAGAATGAGGAGAATGCATCATTAAACTTGTCAAACTTGTCAACTCCAATTCCAAGACTGTCATATACTAAGGACATACTGAGATACTGTCAATCAAGTTGAAAAACGCATTGTGTTGCACACTGTCAATATCTGTTAATCAAGTGTAGTACAGTGTAGCTTGCTGGAAAGGCTCTGAAAGAATGACAGTGACAGTCAAACTGGCCAGGTCGTCTGACAGCAGATTACCTGGATGTCTTCGTTGTCGCCCATCCCTGGCATCCGTGTCACAATCCGAGTCACAATCCCTGTCACAATCCCTTCGTTCGAGTTCTCAGATTCTCCAAGTTCAATTTGCCAATTTGCCCCATTCCGACATACCGACATACGGTGACATACTTCGACACAAAGAAGCAGCAACTTTTGTCAAAGCAGTTTGGGAAGTGACAAAAGAGCAATTTAACACATACCCAAGCAAGGACCCGGTTCACCTTCGGCAAAGGTAAACAAAAAGCTACGCTAATTTAGACATAATGAAATTCAATCGGTCCTTGAAGCACCAAATCGATGATTGTGGGCGATGCAACTTGCTCTGGATAGGCTGCCAGGAGCGAGCAGCAGACCTCACGGCAATGAAAAAAACATTGTGTCCTTCATGGACTATCCGGACATTCCTGAACTCCGTCCTGAACACACCGCGTAATATAGACATCTGTGGACTCTTCCTGGACTCTTGTTGTATCCTCTTGTTGTATCTGGCAACTCAGTTGCCAGCTGTGTATGCAAACTTGCGCAGCGGGAGGCCATCATCGACCTCTCAAAAGTGTCTCTGATCCAAACCCCCAGGAGTCTGAGGAGTCCCAGGAGTCTTCCAGGTGCCATTGAAAGATGCTGAAAGATCGTGAAAGTATCTGAAAGTATCTGAAATTGCAACTCCATGACCATGTTGCTTGGTGCACCTTGTGCTTGAAAGGTCCCAAATCGACCTCTCGAATGAGTTCTGGCCTCTACAGTGGATTGGCAACACGAAAGCAACAGTTGGAATGCAAAGTCTTAAATGACTCTGGTTCTGTCAGGAGCGCCTTTGTTTGGAATCGTCTTTGATACGCTCCAAAATCAAGTCTGTACTGTCCTGCGCACATTAAAAAGAGAACCAAGCCAAGCATTCCTCAGTCTGTCCAATGAAATCAACTTAAAATCACAACAATCATGTCCTGCAGAATTTCTGAACAGGTTGGCGAAACACAAACCACGTTGACAGAGTGAAGGGCAGCCTTCCGCACCTGGTGAAACAGGAAAGTTGCGATCGCAATCATTGTAACTTGTATCACTCCACAACACTCACGATGCAAAGGCGCTTCCAGCCCGCCCTCCGAATCATTTTTCAACAAATTGCTGGAGTAAGGTTTCAACACCACCCAGCTCCCAGCACTTAAGCTGGATGCCGGGCCTACCCAATCAAGTTGGGTAGCAGCCCTCAACTGTGTTGATTCCCTCACTTATAGTGGGTGACTTCCCCAACAAAAGATTGGCTTATGCCCATCTCTCTGCCTCTAATCTTCTGAAGATGAGGAAGTTGATTCGGAGCTGGTGTCAGTTTCGGTGTTTGGGTAGCAACGAGGGCATGATTTATGGCCCGCTGGGAGCTGCGTGTCCCTGCTGGCATGCGCTTGTAGCTTACCTGCGTACAACCAGCCACAGACTGTTCTCCACTCCGAAGGTGGTCTGGTGAGATCTATCAGCGATCGATGGTTCCCTTATTCAAGAGTCGTAAGTCGAAGCAACACCTTCGAACTTGTGTTCGACGTCTTCAAGCTGGTGGACAAGCTTTCCTATTTGGTCATTGACACATCGTGCTTCCTCTGCCAGCCTGTTGTGTTCTCTGAGCAAATTGCTCACATCAGCACGGCAGTCCAGATCCGTAGTCACGTGATTGTTTGTCAAGGCAGTGTCAGGCTTGACAAGTGTGACATCCGAGCCGATGTCAATTCAACGATGGAAGTCATCTAGCGGGGCTTCTGCCCAGTAGGTGAAACAGCCATACTGCCCCATCTGCTGATCAGCTGTATTGCAATGGGATCGAGCCCCCATTTTGCTGAGAGTTCTAGCTCCAGTTATACGAAAGGTATGCCCAGAGATTTTCCAGTTTCCATTTGCGTCCTTGGCAGATCCACCCGATAGATCAACAGCGCGCCTGATTGTGTCGACCACGCTTTGCTGTGCACAAACTTCGCCACGTGCAGTTGGAAACAAAGCCGACTCCGTGCCATTAAAGGCATCCTTCAGAAGTTCCATGTGGTGTCTAAGAATGTGCATCACACAAGGCAAATCTCTATCGCACGGGCAGTGCCATGTACGGGTGCATCCCTTTGCCTGCCAATCCACTTTAGAGACGGGCAGTCTGGGCATTGTCTCAATCTGTCCACAACCGCGAGAAGGTAAAAGGGCTCCGATCTGTGGGCCCTGCAATGCCGCGCAAAACTGATCTTGCGCACTTCTTTGACATCAATTCTAGTCGGTCCGACCAGTCATAGCCAGAAGTGATGTGGTACTCCTTGATTCGAGACAAATGGTTCTTTACCGACTTGCAACCGCCCTGCTTGAACAATGAAGACACCTTCAACAGTTTATCTTCAGTGATAGGCAAAACGCCACTTTCTGATCCAAACCACTTCCAGTGAAATCGTGTCCACGTTTTCAGCAGGGCATCACGCGGTCCCCTACTGGAGCTGGCATATATGTCAGCCACCAGCTCCGTTGAGATGCCCGATCCAGGTCCGCATGGCTCAACTGATTGCGCCCCGTTCTAACTACAGGGAAATCTTGTCTACGCCTCTTGACATCGCCTCTCACGCAGGTTGGGTGGCCACTGGGATCGTTTAAGAAGAGACGGGAAGCGGGTTCCCCCCCAGGCACATCAGATGGCGCCTGGGTGGCATGTGCCTTCACCCAACCTGATATGTCATGCGAGGGTAGACTAGGAAGAAACTGTACCCTCGCAGTCCATTTCCTACATGGTGGCATTGGTCCAAACTACGGTGTTTCAGAATTAATGCAAGTTATCTAAGAAGTTGTCATCTACCCTCATTGATGTCCAGATACACCAGGGAAGCTGCATCCTCTCCCAGAGTGAGGAGACCACGCACAAGTGACATGAAACTGACATCAAATTGCAGCACGACAAAGAAAAGTTAAATGGTGCTACCTTGCCTTGACAACCACGGCCGAGTGCAATGCAATGCAGGCACAAGAGTAGAAAGCAAACGTTGTGCAACTTTTGACACAATCGGAACATCGACGCACATTGGCTGCTGTCCTTTTGGGCACAACCTCATCTGACTCTGATGCAGCTTTTCTTCTTCTGCCTCTTGTTTGACATGGGTGTCGATGAAGTGCTGTCGCCCTGCTCATATGCTGCACATGGCTGTGCCGGTGACTGTTCCACCCATGTCAGTGTCTTCCACCATGATCTCGGCCGCTTTGGGGGGACAACTGCTCTGGCATTTTTGCTGGATAGGGAGTTTGAACTGGAATCCGGGCTGAAATTGACGTGAGAGCACGTTGCAAATGGCGTTGGCGACGCCTGGGAGGTGTTCGGCAATGGCTGGACGATACTGAGCTTGTCCAAGATCAAGGGCAAACTCACGTGCAAGAAGGGTATGTGCAAGAGACTTGCCCTTCACTTGCGCATAGGGTGTGAGTGCTCCGATGTTATCGTTTCGGAGTTTGACCCTTGAAGTGCGCCATGCCTGTTTCCAAAGTCGTAGTCACATGAGTCCACACAGCGCTTCCCAAGTTTGCTGTCCCTCATGCGAGCCTGATTTTGTGTTCAGATGGACTTCGTCATCTTCAGCGATGCTGATGGCGAAGAACTCCACATAGGTGCCATCAACTTGTAAAGTTCCACCCATTCCATATGGGGATGCATCCTATGTGATCATCACTTCTGGACCGACATGGTTGAAGACTTCCAGGCTGTAGCTCCTGACTATTCCAGCCTTGTCTCCTGAAAGAAATGTTCTCAACCATGGCACTGAGTGTGCAATCTGTTTTGTCCAGATGCAGCAATTCGTGTGACTGCTCTGAATGTAGGGCCACGTAGAGCTCGCTGACGAAGGGTTGCCATACAAATATCACTGACGCCATAGGCCATAGCCATGGCCTTCCCGATCAGTGTTCTGAGGTTCTTCTTGCTGATGACGTTTGGCTTCAAGGAGTCAGCCAGCAGCATATCTAGCTCTGCAACTTTGGACTCTGGAACCTCAGCCACCACGGTTCTCTCGTGTATCTGCAACCTGACTCCGATCCACACCAGAGAACTTGCAAGGACTGCTTTGTTTGTGGCAATGGGGAAGCCCATGATGCTCCACATGACGACGACTAGACATGCCGTTCTTTTCTGTTCTGCCTCGGTGCCCTTTATGATGGCCAAAGGGTCATCCACATAAACTTGAAGACGCATTGACCTTTCAGCAGATGCAACCCATCTGGCCGCTGTCGACAGGATTGCTGCAAACATCAGTGGAGCTGCTCTGGATCCCTGCGCCGTCCTGGTGAAGACGTAGTAGCTTCCCCTCAACTTCGCCACAAAGTACTTTCTCTCCTTGGCATGGAGGGGGATGAGCCAGAACGCATCGGTGACATCGGCCACCAGCATTGTCACTCCTGTTCCAATTCTCATGGCTACAAAGGTGTGTGTACTGCATCACTGACACGTGGGAGGACAGCTTTGTGCGTTCTGCGCACCACCTCGGACACCTGTGAGAGTTTGCAATCCAAGATGATCCTCATCTTGAAGTTCACCTCCCCAGTGTCCAAGTTAAGCTTCGCCTTCTTGATGCAGCCAAGCTTTGATAGAACAGGTTCTCCGTCCACAAGGCGTCTGACTTCTTCAAGTGCTGCTACCGCTACCTTTTGAAGGTAGCCCTTCTGGTGATATCCTTCCAGTGTTGAGAAGGCTTCTGCATCATCTTCAACGCCCTCATAGCTCTGAAACTTTTCGAAGTTTGTGTTGAGGGTGTAACTTGATTCACATTCTTCCGGATCAACTTGTGGAACAATCCATCGTGCACCATGGTAGGTCCATCTGGCACATCTCTCGCCGGGATCCCCAGCGACCGTGGCCCGTAGTGCAGGAGCTTACCACTGATGCTGGTCTTGTACTGCCCGGTGTCAACTTGGTCCTTTTCTATGTCTGGATCATTGTCAAAGACTCGGCACACTAAGCTATTGACTTGCACACCAATGTATGCTGCTTTCTGTGTGGCCCACCTGTGGACATCTCTGAAACTGTTCTTGTCGCTGGTGTCCATCACTTCATCCTCGGTGCCTCTAAGCGTCATGCTCTTTCTGACCTTGATGGTCTCCACTCCACAATTGACTTGTCCAGCACCTGAGTTGATGGTGGTGGTCTCTTCCGGTTCCTCCTCTTTCTGCACAGTGCTTTGGCCAATGCTCTGTTGAGGTCTGCAGGATGCGCTGCACATGATCTTGTGATGTAGTCTCCATGGGGTTCTTTGCGCTCCAACATGTCTGGAGCCCACTCATCTCCGGGAAGTGCCCACTGCTTGCCACGCAGTTGGGGATGCGGAGCCCAAATGCGCTCCCCGCTCCATGGGATGACCCACGTCTGACATGGATGATTGCAGCGAAGGTTGAATGCATGTTTGACATCATGTCTGTGAGTTTCTCAGCCCTGCATCCAAATCTGCACTGGGCAAGTGTATACATGTAGACCCCAGGTTTGTCCCTGAGCCTTTGCACCTCATCAAGTTTCCACATCGACGTCTGGCCTTCACGTTCGTGAGGCTGCTCAATGATCCACTATCCACCAGTGTGATCAAACTCTTCGGCAGGGTCTTCTTCTTGTCTTCAGGGCTGAGTCCCTTCAAGCCATATCGGTCTTGCCCGTGACGCCCCTAAGCGGCTTGGGACCACCGTGTCCACGTCGTGCCGGAGTGAAGCTGCTGCAGGGTGGTGACAACAAAGTGTTGTCATACTCATTGAAGGCCGCCGTCAACTCCTCCCAGAATGATTGATCCAGGAGATCATGCTCATTATAAAATTCTTGTCCACGTAGTTGCAGTCCGACCCAAGCTCCTGTTGCAAATTTCGCCAGGCCTTCATTTGGTCTATGTGGACCACTGTATAGATACAAGACGCGGGCACTGACACTTGCTGTAGCTGTGACATTGTCCACCAAATTCCTTTCTCCATGTCCACCTCCATGCATGCTGTTTGCTCCTCATGTCAGTAAGGGGCACGTTTGCCCTTTCCGCTGCGCCCACTTCCTCTCCCCTTCTTCCCGCCCTTTTGAGTTTTTTCACGAATTCAGGCGTCTGCAGCTCTGAATGTGGGCAGCCGGAGCTTGGATGGTTCCCAAGGCACCTGTCGCACTGACGGGCTGTGTCACATCGCTGAGCACACCATATGCCCTGCGTGCTGTTGGAGCATTGTCCACCATTGTACCCAGAGCAGATAGCATAGCCGTCCTGTTGTGTTTTTTTATTCTCACCTTGTATGTTGTGGATTCTCCCCGTGCGATTTGTGTTCCTTGGCCTGATGGGCTATTCACTGGTCATCCTGGCAGGGGCTGGAGCTGTTCTCATGTTGATTCGAAGACGATGCTGGGGCTGTTGCGACCTTGGCGTCCCCCTCGACCACCTCGGTTGCAGACGTGATCTTCGTGACGATCAACATGCAGGGTTCGTTGACTTCTTTGCGCCACAAGGCCTCATCCGTGACTGCCCTGGCCCATACGAGGTTCCATGGTCGCTTGTCATCATAGTCTGTAGTGTTGCCAGCTGCTGTGGCCGCATCGTGCTCCGCCTTGAGAGATCTCTTGAGCCTCTCCATGTGTTCAAGTCTGCAGCGGACATCTGCTTGATAGATGACAGACCAGACTTTGGCACCATATCTCTCTGACATCCTCTCAATGTGCGCCCGGTTCTTTTGGAGGTGTCCAAGGTCCACCACACCGCATCGATCATCACAAGGACTGCGAGGAGCACATTGTAGCTCTGGAGCCACGTGCCCAGGCTGTTGGGGCCATACAGCTCCAGCGTTCTGAGCGTTCCATCTCGCTCAATGTTGTACCGAGGCAATTTGATGCGCTTCATCATCCGGAGTGTCCAAGCGGGCCAAAGACACTGAAGTCTGCATATGGTGGCTGACCCATCGTGGTGAGATGGATCAGCCCCCAACAACTGTTCCGCTGTCGGTTCACATTCTGTCGCCGGGCGCTCTCCAGTGCCGAAAACCGTTTCATAACGCCCATAGCACTTCAGGATCTCCTTTTCCTCAGCCACCATGATCTCTGAGTCGTCCACCTGACTGATGACAGAGCTCAGCTTGATTCTACGGCCCTGCGGTCGGTGCCGCTGCTGCCGCCGCCTACCAGCTATTTTCCATGCCGTCAGCATCGCCTGCAGATCTGCATCATTGAAGAAACCCTGCCCATTCCAGTGCCTTCTTGACATTTGTTATCGCATCCCGCTCAACATCTGTTGGGCCTGCTGCCATAGCTCACCTGCAGGCCCAGGGAAGCTGGATAGTATCCTGGCAGGTACCGGGCTATGTAGCCTGTGATCAGCGCCGCGAACACCCCCAGCCCTTACCCTCAGGCTCTTCTGTCTCCAAGAGATAGCCTGAGGGTACCAATGAGCTCATCACCCACCCGCCGCAATTGACGAGTCGGTGATAAAATCTTGCGGCGGGTGCCCTCACTTGAGCCAAAATTGGCAGTGAGGGAACCATCATTACCCACCCACCTACCCAAACTGCATCAAAGGTGTTACTATTCACATTTCATGTTCATTCCCACATTTCATCCCATATTGCGTTCAATTTATTGAAGTCGCTGGAGAATGAAAGGACTATAAATGACTATAAATGGGCTATAAACGGACTATAAATGGACTATAAATGGACTATATGTCTGTGTGTACATGATTTAAATGGATTTAAATGGACTATGTGACTATCTGATGACCGCATGTGCTTTGTGACAAAGCTGCACTTGGGACACTTGGGACACTGAGACCTGGAGCTCTTCATCTCCAAGGCATTGCAGCAAAGCTTCCTTCGCAGGTGGCAACACAGCGGACAGACGTGTCTGCATTGCACTGTTGAAGACATGTCGTTTTCAGACGTCACAGATTGAAGCAGACTAATCGGAGCCATGCACTTCACTTCTTTTCTATGGATTTTCTCTTTTCTGGAGCATGTCGCAGTTTGTGTTTTTGTGTACGTGTTTCATTTTCAACTTATCACCTGCAGCGGTCGCCATGTTGTGTCCGGAAGCAGCAAGCACAGAATAGCTTGCATCCCAATTTTGAAGTCCCCGGCCTTCAGCGGCAGCACTGTTGAAGCCTGCGAAGACATTCCCGCAGCTTTTGTCGAGACTTGAAATAAATGTCAACATATTTCCATCATTTTCCATCATCCTTCAAACTTGTCACCTCTCTACAGTTGCTTGGTGGAACCTGACAATGCTTGGCTGCTGCAAACCGCACGGATGCCACAGCTGCGGCTCTCATTCGCCAACTCTCCCTGCCAGCTTTGCCACTTGCACAAGACATCGTGCTCACCATTCATCATCAAATCGTCACTGTTTGTGTCAAACCTGCAACAAGCCCTTGCCTTTCTTTGGAGAGCAAGGCTGTCAGAGCTTGAAGAACCGCCTCCTTTGCAGAGTTTAAGAGCAGTGCAAATGTATACAAGACATATCAATACAGACTTGCTACATATTCATATCCATATACATATAACACATAACATATGACATAAAAATGTAACATATTAAATATTACATTTGAAAATATATATTACATATAACATATAACATATTACGATAACCTTTATTATACATACATATATGCATGTATATGTGTGTATCATAGATGCCTGAGTATATGAGTATGTTGTGCACATCGAACATCTTGACAAAGCATTCTCTTAAAGAAAAAAGGTTAGCTTTCCACAGCACCGGCAATGGAGTGAACGGACTCGGCAAAAGTCTGGCTGGCACTCACAGTGAAGACACGGAGGACATCCAAATGACATACACCACACACAGGCAATGTAATAAGAGCAAACCAACATCATTAATGCCACACGGAGACGAGTGCATCCCTATGGAACAAACTAAGGCTGAGGAGGCTGATGTCCAGATTAGTGTGTATTTGTTGCCTGTTCGAAATTGAAAGTCTTTGCTAATTGCTGTTGGTCTGGCACAAGCTAAAGCTGAGTGCTCAATCTGGTTTGACTGCTGGACTGAGAAATTCCAGTTACCTATTTGCCAGAGGGGAAGCTATGACCGCAAACAACATGAATGGACGAACATCATTACAAGTTCAAAAGGGACATGTATATGGCCGGAAAGTGCCCGAAACGCTTTGGGTGACGAGGCTTTTAGATACGAAATCGATGACGCAAATGAATGAAGCAATGCAGTAGTTTCAAAAGCATATATAATACGTATTCAATGCCGATTTGGATGAAAAAACACCATCAAATTGCTCAAACATGTTATGGAGAACGTTGCGCTGATATGTGTTTGGGATATCACATTGTCAAGTATTGTCATTCTTGTGGTGCATCGGTGCCAGTCTTTCAATCAACCGGTGCGCTCGAGGTCTTTCCATGCGTCTGGTGTGCTGTAGTTGGGGAAAAAACTTGCCTCATGCGGTCCTGTAGGTCTGCGTCCAACAAGTTCTTTTACAGCTTCATTATATATTCAAACGGCTCAGTTTGGTTTGATTCATCTGAATAGTTGCAAAGGCTATTTAGCGATTTGCTGCGCACAGTTCAGTGGAATACTGATATGTTCCATGATTGTGAAAGTCTTTGCCAATCAGATTCGTTGATGCAAAGACCCTGCATGGTGGCACTTAAAAGGGTCCCAAGAGTTTGTGCATGTGTGCTTGCTGTGTACTTGTGTATGATTGTAATGTATGCAATGTGTATGTAAGGTATTTAATGTATCCAGCGTATTTAACGCAGTCATTTAAGGTACATAATGTACAGCAACGTGATGCAATGCAATGTATGTATGTGTCCTAATTGTCTTATGTGCTTCATTTATCCTATGCATCTTCTGCATCAGTCGGTCAGTCAGTCTGTCTGTGTGTCTGTGTGCTTATGTATCCATCTATCTATCTATCTATCTATCTATTGATCGATCGATCTATCTTTCTATCTATCTATCTATTTATCATTATTTATCTATCTATCTATGTCTATTTCATAATGTGTAAATATATATATACATATACAGTATATAATGTAATTATATACCATGTTTATAACGTGTAATTATATATAATTATATGCATGTCTACATATTTGCATGTGTGTGTGGTTGCACGCGCATGCGTCTGTGTCAAAGCGTGAATGTTTGCATCATTTTGCACCTGTGTGGCAGACTCGAGCGATGCATAGAAACAATTGTGGCATAGCGGCATAGCGTGGCACTGGTCTGCCTGTCCTGATCAACGGCCAGGAGGTGTCCCAGCGACTCCGACACGACATTTCGCATGCTTTCCTTCAGGGCAAGTACTAACATCACTAGTTGCAAAAAAGAGGTAAACAGAAGTCTAGGTACTGTATATCGTTGTTCCAAATCCAGATGGTAAAAGAGGACACCGAAAACATCCAGTGCTGCACCTCCTGTGAATCTGCATACTGTTGGAGAATTGGCCTGAGAAACAGTGCATGGCAATGTGGAGCTGCAAAACTGGCCGAAAGACTTGCGACCGGCCCAAATGTGCAACCAGGGAAGTCCTCGAAATGTTGTCATGTTGCTTCATTCTCTGCTTCGGTCTGTTTCTTTAATGTATGTTAATGTGCTCCTTGTGTTTGTTCCACTGCACCCAGATTACCAAGCATCCCACAACACCCGGCCCACATGAGGCTTTAGGTGTTCAGCAAGCGATCGCGATCCGTGCCTACACTCTACAGTGATTGTAGATTTACAAGGTTTGGAAGAGTGGCATGTTGCAGGCTGTAGCATTTTTTCAATAACCAGCAGTGACAAGGTCACTTCAGCAGCTGAACACATAACATGCAACAAATCAGCATGAGTATTTTCAAAATTTCAAGCCAGGAAATCTAAATGGTTGACTCTCAGGATTCAAGCGGCCTGCTCATCTAAATATCGATCGAACTTACAGTTGGCACAAGGATCTCCGTGCGGCTTGTGGATGAATCAACTTGCCCTGTAGCTTTTGGGGCTGGCATCTGGTCTCTCAATCTGAGCACTTTTCTACACCCTGTCTAACCTTGTCTCAAGCAGTTCCACAACATTGGCGGCCTTTCAGCAACACCAATGGCTATCACTTCTCTGAGAGAGGTGAGCAGCAAGTACCTGAAATCAAAAGCTGGAATTAGTAGCAGTATGAGACGGTTCTTTTCTTGGAGGGTTTTGGTGAACATCGATTGATGAACACATAGGTGCAGTGCAGGAGCACTGTTTCTTCTGTCCCGGAGCTTCTGTGCCAGCCTCCATTGACAACACCAGGAGATCCTACGTTCAACTCCAAAAAGAACAATGAATTACGAAGAGTGTAAATGGTTCAAATCTGTGGTGACTGAAATGATTCCTGCAAAGGCCCACCACAAACAAGTTGGGAGTTGCCTGCTGAACGTTGTCGATCACAACTTTCAGCAATGTACCCATCGCTCCAACTGTGGCCTGGTTTGCAGGCCTATTGTGGTGCCAAAGGCAAGAACTGCACTTGCCATAAGTTATTGACAAACACGTTTTTTCCCTTTACTGTAAATCACTGAACGCGTTTTCTTCAACATCTTCAGCCCTATGTTCCTGAAAGTAGGGACTCCGACATATCCTAGTGCCAGTGCAGCTGCCAACCGAATCTCATCCTTCAGACAGTCATAATTGAAGCTCACGAGTCACAGAAATTCCAAACAGCATCTCATAACTACCAACTGTGAGCTGACTGAAAGTGAACCCCAAACTACATCCCAAACGGAATCTTCTAGACCAAATTCAAGTAGCCCAACTTGTCAGCCCACAAACACAGCACGAGTCGTTTTTTTACTTCAAGAGAGAGGGAGATGACGGACAGTTCTGACATATCACATGATAACAAAGAGCACTTGTAGCACATTGTAACAGAATGTAACAAATGTGTATTTCAAAGACATAACTCACTGCACTCAAGTTGGGATTGTCCTGCTGGCTCTCAAGCTGCTGCAAAAGCACATCGCAAAATCCTGGAACACCGGAGAGGTCGGTGTACCTCTCAAGGGCCCGTCATGTTTGCAGTTCAGCAAAGCCATCTTAGTCTAACATGCTTCTGAAAGCATCAACTGTACCCTGTTGGAAAAATGATGGAAAAATGTGTTTACAGAACAGTTCACTAGTTCACTACACTTCATGGTTTTAATCCACTTATCTACAAGTGTCTTTTCATGAAGACATGTAACATTTGATTTTGCCTTCTTGGCTTGCCGTCTGCTATGATTATATAGTCGACAGTACTCCTGGAACGTTCGTGCTCGTGCTCCCACTGAACACATTTCCTTTCATTTCTGGAAAAGCTGGGAAATAAATCTCCTGAGAAAGGTGTACTTTGTAAAGGGGAAGGTCGGATGAAGAAATTTCGTGAAGAATCAGTGGAAGAGACACATGGGTTAGTACAGATTCTACCAGCAGTGACATGTTGTTACATGTGAATTAGGATTCCTTGCAAGAAATCTACTTGGCGATTTCAGGCCCATGCCTGGCCTCCGGTTTTGCTTCGTTTTCTTTTTGGTTTTGTTGAGAGGTTTGCCCTGTGACAAAGTGATGTCAGGATCAAGTCTTCCAAGATATTAAGACTCTCACTCCACATTTTGCTTGAGACGACATGTCTACTGTTCAGTCTTGTGACCTGAATATGCTTGGCTCCATGAAGTAGTCCGCATTGCACTCAGTTGCAGAAAAGCAGGGCACTTTCCAGTCTCACCAAGTGCAAGAAGAGAAAGTTCGCACTGGTGGATCACCTGTCATATGCCATGAGGAGGTTTTGATATGGTTTTGTGATGCCTCAAGAGTTTGACTCTCTGTGGGTCTGTGAAGGTCAACACGAGGCCCGATTTATATAAATCGAGATCAACATCTTTAGTGTATGTTTGTTTAGCTAACCAAGTCGAGACCGCACTTCTGCAACTTCTGAGTGCGTGACTTCAGGAGATGAGTTCCCTGCTGTTTTTCTCACGCTCTCCAAGAAGTGCTGCACAGCAGCCTGCTCTCAAACCGCATACTTTCTGATACTTTCTGCCCCAGTACATAACAACACGGATCAACACGAATAATTAATGAGTCACAAATGTGAGCCCAAAACTTCACTGTGATCTATGACGACTCAACTAACCCTTCTTTTGCCAGCGTCCAGTTCGGCTTACTCCCCTTCATGGCACCAATTCAAGATTCTTCCATCCAAGCAGCTCACAGGCACACTCTCACAAATGCAGTACCTATTGAAAGTATGGTATAGAAATATCAACCAAAAAGAGGGGCATTGAGCAGACAGAGATAGCGAGAGAGAGAGAGAGAGAACAAAAGGGGCTCGGGATCCTCTGATAAACAGGACTGGTGTGGTTCTTTCTAGCCTTTTGCACGTCTGGCGCCGATGAAGAAGTAACAGCAGCTAGGCCTTTTGCTAGGGTTCCAATGACCTGTCAATGAAATCTGTGATATTGTCGGAGCAATCTGGAAGTGTTCTGCAAAAGTACACAATGAAAAATATTCTGCTTTTGTAGATAGGATATGTTTCTCAAAGAATATAAAGGTGAACACGCTCCTCATTTTGGCACAAGCAAAGAGACATGCAGTCTCACGGTATCACGATTACAATTACATCAAAGATACGTGTCCGATAAACTCACATGTCAGCCGCACGTGGCGCTGTGCCTGCAAAATGTCGTGCTGCAATTTGCTTCTGAAATACACTCTGCTGACATAATACTCACGGCCTTGCTTTGAACTGAAAGAATCAACCTTTCAAAGCGAATTGTCTCTAGTACTACTGGTACCACTGGTCCTGCACAAATCCATGCACCCCAATCCCCACTAGCCGTCACTAGCCATCGCCGCAACTATGCCTGAGCTTGTGCAGAAGTAATCACTGATGTATTGCTTAGCTCCTGCGGAAGTCGTTGTACTTCGTCGTACTTCGTGCAAAGTGCCAAGAGCCAGGCACAGATAACAGTTGTAACAGATCTGCAAACAGAACCGCAAATATCTATAATACTAAATAAAGCAAACAATTATATAAATCGATGGAAATTTCCAGCAATAAATCGATGGAACGCAAATCAAGCTAAAAGATTCTCAAGATTCTAAAAGTGTACTTCTCGGTGTTGTCTGGCTTTCTCTTACAGGTCCTGTCGCAGCTTTTCGAAGGGGCAGTGTTCTCTGTGTTGTGCAACTCGAGACAAAAAGTTCAAAATCGAATCCTTGGGGCACAGCTGTGACAAGGCACAATTTGCACAAGAAAAATGCATTCAGAATCAACGTAGAAACGAATCACATGCGTCATATTCTTTAAGAAGTGCCGGTGTCTCTTTCCTCGTTCTGGTGAATGCCACACAGATTCTCTCTTCCTGTTGATGTAGTTTTTGACAAATGCACAGAGACGGACAGAGATTCAGGCGAAATAGTATGTGTACTATCAAACTCACAGATTGTGTGCTGCACCTTTGTGTAGATTGTTTCCGCTACTAATGCTAGCCTGAAATTATCTTGCAATTGCAATGCCTATGACTCAAAAGCGCAGTGCCGTCCAAGTATTTGTTTCTTTCTTTTGTCAAACGGAGTTCAGAGATTTACTGCAGAACAATTAAAATCAGCTTCAGTAGCACTCCCACAGCATCCTAAAGAAACAATACCAAGTCTGTAAAAGGGATTTGTACCAACATTTGCAGAATATTTGGATACAAATACTTTTTTTCAGCCGGCACTGTCAGCGTTTGTTCGTACACCTCGTTCTCACCATCTGCTCTACACTGTACGCTCCGCTTGCGTATGTTTTGAGTGAATTTCCTCTCTGGCTTTTCAGTTTTGTCTCGTCCCCCTGCGCTCTGTATATTTATATACTGTGTGTGTAATACATGCATGTACAGACCAAAGAACATTTGAGAAGACGACATGTCCACACTCCAAGTGACAACCGTTTTCTTCTACAGGATGTGCTGTCAAATAACGCTGGCCACCAAGTGTTCAACGGATGACATACACAACACGGACAACAATATACACAACGTGTACGACAGGCATACCACGCGCATTGTCCCTCACCTACATACTAACCTTACCACATTCATACCATATCCAAACCACTCCAAACCACTCCCAACCAAGTTGTATGCCATTACTTTGTTGCATGACATCACATTACATGCTATGATGTGGCGTCTCGGAATGTTTTGGTTACCAACAAATTAGCACGACAAATTGGCAATGATTACATGCGGCACAAGCACACTGTGCCACACTGTGCCACAGGGCACAATAGCTGAGGACCTGGCCAATGCACTTCCTTGAAGCAGTGGTGATCTACAGACTGACAAGACGGCTGGCACCTGTTCAATGTCTCACCAATGCACATTCTGTCTGAATCTTTTCAAGAAATCTAGAGGTGTGACACTGTGACAAGAATGTCATGGATCTTCTTCATGTTCTCCGTATCTTCAGAGTGGGCACGCAGCGTTCAATGACAGAAGCCGCCATCCTCGGTGAAGTGATCAGGACCTGGCAGGTAGAACTCATCTGATAAGCTGGCAGGATCTGAGATGCGAAATCAGCAGCACCTCAATGGATTTCGGATTGCAATGAATTTGCACTGTATCATCCATTTGTATCCTAGAATATCCTAGAGCGCGGAAAACTTGGCGCAAGTACTTGGACAGCTATCTGGACACAAAGATCTGTGATGTACAAATCCGTGTCCGTGATGAACGCCACCATGTCACCTACCACCGAAGCAGGAGCGGTCCAGCGGTTTGAATTTCATCAACACAGTATACTGCAGCTCCAGAAATCCAAACGCCAACTATGTCCCAAGGCTGCCTAGTATCTGCATTGTGGTGTCTGTTGGAATGCTGCTTCCATACCTGTCTGATTCCATCAATTTGCCACAGTGCGGAGCAGATTGAACTTCTGCTATCGGAGATTATCTGCCCCAAGCCCAGATGCATCATAGTGCACTTAGGGCACTTTCTGATGAGGTGCACAAGCGCATCCAAACATTGCTGCCTGAACATGCATCGAGGTGCATCCAGCATAGGCCACTGGAAAAGAAGCTGCTGAATAGTCCATTCAGCCAGTGCTAAAACCTGTTCAAACATACGACTGTCCAAAATATATCAACATATGCTTTCCAACGAGAGCAAGTGGTGACGACGTGCTGGCACAAGAAAGGAACAGTACTGTCCTAATCGGCGAGCCCTGCCTAAATGCACGACTGTTCTGGCTCAGGTATTGCGACAGGCTACTCCCCACCTCAGTCCGATACACAAATCATTTTGTCACTCCAAAAGCACGGGAAAATACTTTTGACTTTTATCACTTTTATCCCATCTGAGAAGGGAGCCGCTGGAAGAATAGAGCTGATTGCAATTATCTGAACCTTCAAATGCCATCAAAGCGAAAAGCCTTCAATATCCTTCAATGCAAATCTTTCGGAGTTCAATTCAAGACGATTTTTCTCATTTTTGTGCAAGGCCTAGAACTCACACGAGGCTCAAAGAGTCGACATATGTCGAGATATGTCGAGATATGTTCAGCAAGAAAAAAAAATCGAGATTTGTTCACAGCTGTCCGCCGCCTTGGACATGCAGATTGTCCTCAACGCTTTGATTGCTGTCGAACGTGTCACCTGCAAAACACGTTGAGAAGCCTTGAGTCGCTTGAGCGGTTTGAACCCTCTTACACCAAAACAAAATGTCATTGAAAAAAGACATGAGGCCATCCACTCTTCCAAGATTCTGATTTTTGTCATTCTTCTTCCATGACATTCCAAGCAAGAGTACCAGGGGGACCCCGGGGATCCAATTCATAGTCGATTCAGTCCAAAACTTCTTGATTTCATGGCATGTGAGTTGCCTCGTTCTTAATGCGCTCCACAAAAGAAGGGAGGCAGTCTTGAATCATGGGCTGGAAGTCTGGAAGGTCCTGCAAACAAGATTGTCACGCATTTGCGGAAGGAAACAATTGATTCAAAGTGCAAGCACTCGATCAACCACTTCACGAATATTGCTGTCCCCAGTGCAGGCCACCAAGTTCCCAAGGCATTCTAATGCACTTTCTTTCACCTGGCAAACCATCCACAAGGAACTGTTTTCGAAACCAAAGCAAGCACTGCAACGAGCACTGCAACCAGTACTGGCGATCAATGTTATGTGTTTGTGCATGTGTTAACCCAGCTTTGCAATCCAACGGCAACAAGGATACCAGGTTTCAGGGGTCCAGGGTTCCATTCCGATTTTGAGTGCCTTGCATCGGTGGCGCACCAGTCCCAGACCCAGAGATTGAAACCCAACACGCGCTGCTGCTGGAGGTATTGTGTATATATGGTCCAGCGTTCCAACCCCCTCCCCCTGTAACCTACTTTTGCGGACGTGTCTACACAATGCATTTACAGTTTGCATACCATGTGACATGTTCACTTTAATTCACATCATCCACTGCACCACTCCGTGGCTCAAGGCTCAAGACTTGCTAGCATAGCTGCAGAAAAGGTGCTGCGCTCCGACTGTTGACCACAAGTGCTCATAGTTTTCTAGCTCATATCCAGGGCCCCTAAATACCGGGGATTCCTACCTCAAAGTGGTAGCGGAGCTCTGTGCCCTGCTAAGATCCGATATTCGGACTGCAGTTGCTTCTTGCACTTGCAAGGGCAGCTTGTGGCACAACTCCGAGTAGCTGCCATGGTCTTAATCCAAAACATGGATTCGGACGAAGAACAACTTCAAATCCAAACATATGAAGAGCCGGAAGCCTACGCCGTCAGTACCATGGACAACAGACCAGGCATCAAAATGCCTCCAAAGGTACCTTCACAGTTTGATGGCCAATCCAGTTGGTTTGAATATGAGGGCTTGATAAATGACTGGTTAGGCATCACAACGTTAGATGCAGACAAGCATGGTCCATCGCTCAAAAATGCAGCTTCATTTTACAAGTCAATGCTCGACAATGCCCTATACTCCGAGATCCGGATCGTGGCCTCTCCCATTTTAAGGACACACTGAGACCCTACTCCCTACTTTGTGCAGGGAGTAAATCGTGTGTTTCTTTGGCGATTCCTCCAGTTGTTTCGAACTTACCGAGGCCGGCATGAATTCGTGCACTGGAAAGGACGTTTCGAGATTGCACAGAAGAGACTCCTTGCATCGTGGACCGACTTGATTGATTTGACCGATTTACCGGACGTAGGCACGGCCGAATTTTTGGCAGCATTGGCACTTTCAAAATCTAGCCAATGATGAAGAGAGAATGAACTACCAAGTAACCCTTCGAGAACAAACAATCACGAATCGGCGAGCACAGCATCAAAATGCATTTCCAGTGTCAGACAACTTGATGTCATTGACCTTTTTAGTACAATCAGACCTGAATGAACAACAACGTGAACGCTTTGTTTCATCAATGAACATTCGACAGATCGCTATGCCGCAGTACACGTACTTGCAGGTGAAACAGCTTTTCCTCGAGCTGTTCTGTGCTTCCAGGAACGGAGTCGTTGATCCAAACATCTCGCACCGAAAACGGTCTTCCTTTCGCATCATTGACGAAGGTGAAACTGAGGAAGGTGAACATGCATTTTGGGTTATCGATGAGGAAACAGGAGAAGAAGGATTCACATGTCTTTTCACAGAAACCGATTTCTGGGTTCTGGTCGCTAAGGGTACATACTCTAAGCGCCGATTGTACGGCCGATCGTTCAAGAAAGGTAAACCGAAGGGCTATGGGAAGAAAGGCAAACGCTCAAGACCCGGCTTCCGCCCGAGGTCAAAAGGAAAAGGTTATGCAGCGTGGGACAACGACCAGCAAGACGAAGCTTTCTGGGGAAAAGGAAAAGGCAAAAAGGGCAAGAAAGGAATGAAAGGTAAGGATTCTTTCAAAGGAATGCCTTCATGGAAGTGTAAAGGAAAAGGCGACGGTAAAAACCAAGGAGGAAAACAATTTCAACAACAAATTCCATCATTTCGCACTTCAAGCCCCCGAAACTCAAGAAGTTGCCCAAGCCGAAGAAACCTGGAGTTACGACTATGACACCTACTGGACAGATGACTGGTCAACATGAGAATCCTACTATGGATACTCTCAAAATGATTGGTACGGTTGGTCTTACTATGCTTCCGTTGAGGAACTGACCATTGCAGAGGACAAGCATTCGGAAGGCTTTCTTGATTTTGCAGTGGACGGACAGACGGACCAAAACAACCGGTTCTGTTTTTCTGTTATTTGCTTGTTCCGATGTTTCGGACACGGACTCATGTCCTTCATGCCATACATGTTTTTGTTCGTGTCTCTCCTGTACCAGAGCTTCCAAGTTTTCAGCAGGAAACGAATTCAGAGCATCCGGTCCATTGAAGAGAGCATCGCAACCCATACCGGTGACAAGCATCCGAACGAACAGCACACTTGCCTACTCAAATCCGATAGTACGGAAGAGTGTGTATATCTAAATTATGATCATGGTGCCCAGCAAGCACTCCTGTGTGAATACGTGGATCTTGGTTCTCATCCAACATATGTGATTTTCGATTCAGGTTGTACCAGAGCCATGGGTTCTCGCTTTGCGATTGATCGTCTTGTCCCAGCTTGCCAGCAGCATCCACAGGGTGACCATATCTGGTGTCAAGTAAGTTTTCATTTGCAAATGGAGAACAATCCACTGTCAAGGAGAGACTTGTGATTCATTTCCAAAATGATCATGCACATAATCATTGGATTACTACGTGCATTGACATCCTTGATAAAGGCAAGGTTCCTATCCTCCTCTTTGTGGAACAAATGAGGACTCTTCGAATGAACATTGAACACACTCCTGTAGGAGAGTTTCTCACATGTCCACTATTTGGAATGCAACGCGCCGCTCTTGCGGTCAGTACATCCAATCATCCGGTTCTTGACATTATGGCTCTTGCAACACCAAGTTGGAAAACGATGTACAGCTTTCAATCAGAAGACATTACATGCCCAGCATGTGAAAGGTAAGCATTGTCCACCCACATATAAGGAAGGCTGCAAGAAATTCAAGATGCCATCCCATGAGCCGAAACCGGCCAAGGCAATGCCTAAAAAGAATGCCAAGAAACCCATTTCACCTGATACAAAATTAGAAGTACCCAGTGGGCCTTTTCAGCCTGATGAACAGCCGATGAAAGCATCTGGACCAAGTTCCGGTTCCAAAGGTGGAGTTCGACCTCGCCGGGATCCTCAACCTAAAGAAGAATCAGAGGTCAAACAGGAACCGAAGGTTGAAGTCAAGGTTGAAGAGAAAAAGGTAACCCTCACCAAAAGGAACATTATCACTTGCACTTCAGCGGATTCATGAAAAGCTTCAGTCACCAACTGAACTTTTGAAACTACATGTAAAGCACTATCACATGTCAACTGAACAGTTCAAGAGAAGGACATCCGCACTGAAGTTGCCAAAGGAAATCTATGACAAGCATGATCAGATTACTAAATCCTGTGATACGTGCTCCAAGGCTAAGATTGCACCCTCGAGAGCTAAGGTATCAGGAATTCGAAGTGAAGTCTTTGGTGAACTTACCTTCATTGATCATGGAGAAGTTTCAACCAATCCTCAGTCCAAACTTCAATGCCTTCTTTATGATGGTGCAACTTCCTTGACTACAGCCTATGTTGTTCAGAATAGGTCAGATCTTGTGACGATTTCACGTCTTCAAGAGTACTTCGAAACGCATCAGCTGAATCCAAAAAATACATTGTTGCTGATCAAGCTTTTATGGGCAATGAAATGGAAGATTACTATAGCAGGCATAGCATTCGACCAATCTCCCTAGGACCAGGTACTCCATGGCCAAACCGAGCTGAGGCAGCCATTCGTATGCTTAAGAAGCAGGTCTCCCTGATGCTTGTTTCCTTGAAGGATGATCCATTGCTTGCCAATATCACATACAAACAACTGTTGAGACAAGCATGTATCTCAAGGAATACTATGGTAACACATGGCGGCGTAACACCGATTGAAGTAGCATTTGGAAGAAGACCTGCCGACATAACGGCGATTGAAAACATGACACCTGCTCAGCTCACCACTGAGGCCCACAGATTGATTGAAGCGCTAAGGTCACTGGCGATGCGAAAGTTTCTTGAGGCAAAACAATCTGATGACCTTCGGAGAGACATTGCCAGCAAACTCCAACTTAGTGATGGACCATTCTTTCCTGGAGATAAGGTATATTTCTGGACCGAAGATAAATCTAAGATAAAATCAGATGGTTCTCATGGAGGAAAATGGATTAAAGGAACGTTGGTCTCAATTGATGGAAGTATCGTTGGAGTAGATCTAGGTACAAGAATTGTGAAGGTCAATATCAGCAAGATTCGAAAGGATCACAGTCCAGTGGAAGATGTGGATGTACCTCTCGATCCTGCTGCATTAGCCAGTGCCGAAGATACGGCCACAAGTGCCGCTATGGCGGCCAAAGATGCCTGCACAACGACCTCGAAGACCACCTGCAGAACTGAAGACTTTGCCAACACCGTCATGCAGCATGACGCATCACTGGTAGGACCAGAAGGAATCCAATATGGTCAGTATGCTTGGGAACCACTCACTAAAGGTAAGATCGATTTTCTGGAGATGTTCAGTGGTTCTGCAAGGCTCAGTGAACCCGCATCCATGCAGGGACTTCGAGTAGGCACACCTATAGATTTGAGAACACGTTACAATCTACTGACAGCCGAAGGCCGGCGAAAGGCTATGAAAGTCATAGAGCGACAACAACCAAAGATTATTCACTTGGCACCGGTATGTGGTCCATGGAGTCAACGACAAAATATCAGCGATCCTGCAGATACTTATCAAAAGAGGAAAAATATCTTCCAATGGTTGAGTTCTGTGCCAGAGTCGCTCTGTTCGTGAAAACGGAAGGTATGTCATTGTTGAAAACCCAGCTTCCTCAAAAATGTTGTTCACAAAATGGTTCCAGCGCCTTCTCACAAAGCATGCCGTAACCTATGGGACTCTAGACATGTGTGCTTTTGGCATGAGCGACCCGAATGGATACTACTACTACTACTACTACTACTACTACTGCTACTACTACTACTA